GTGTGACCATAATCTGGTTCGGATTTTGCCTAAAAAATAGATTAGTTGTCCCTAGGAAATAAAATGGACATTTCACAAATTAAATTCGTTTAGGCTGAAGTATGACTCTTACAAAGGTCAATTTTTGCAGACTCTTTCCCGCCTTCGATTCCAACTCTTGAAATGAAATTTGTTAAAACGGTAGAAATAAGTTCTGAATAAGCAAAATATTTAACAACTTTGCTTTTGCGGTTATTGACATTTTCGGGACTAGGCCGTAGTGGAAAATAAATTCTTCCTGACGTTTCGCAAGCACGAATAGCTTACATCGTCAGCGGCGGTTGTTGCGCTGAGCAAATTACCCCTGAAGATGCAATGCCTGTTTGCGAAACGTCAGCAGGAATATTGCTTCTATTGCTAGATCCCGAGGAACTCGCCAGTTTTATGTTTGGTGCGTTGTTAATGCTTTCTGTGTTGCGCTCCCAGATTTTGCTCGCTTAGAGAACACATTTTAGCAGAATTTGCACGTTTTTTCTGCAGAATTTGCGCTAATTTGAATAGGAATTAGGATAAAATATGTTTATTTAAAAATAAAATATTTAATTCAAAAGAAAGTTTTCGAAGCATTTGACGACTGGTAAACCTGGACAAACCTGGTCAAAATGGTAGAAAAGATAACACGTTTCACCCCAACACAACACAAATATCTAACAACTGTCTTGCTCTACCTGAAAAAAATAATCGAACAATTCATCTTAAGTTTCCTAATTATGTAGCCCCAAAATTGTATAATACATTGCCAAGTATAATAAGATCAATAAATAACTTCAATTTGTTTAATAAAAAATCCAGAGAATATATCACTATACACAGGATATAACACATTTGTTCAGATACTTTCTCAAAAGTTGAGTTCTCGGGAAAATGTTTTAAGTTGCTAGTTTTAGGTAAGAATATACATGTATAGCATGCTATGTGGATTTCTGTTAAACCAGGACAGAAAATAAAAATATGATTACTGATATAAAAAAAATTGTAACCTCAAGAGTACATACAAGGTATCTAGGTACTCAACAAATAATTTTTACATTATATGAATTGTAAATTGACAAATAATTTTCTGTTTACATATATATTTTTAATAAATTTTGAATTTGAATTTGAATTTGAATTTTCATCATAGCAACACGCACAATCACAGTAAACTCAACTAAATGAAAATGGTTCCAGATACTAGCAACCGAAACGTTGTGACTACACACTTTAATTAAGAGCATTGAAAGTCTGACTCCTCTGTCATTTAATATGCAAAGAAACAATAAGAAAATGATTAACCAAAATACGTACTACAATTTTATATTACTGTCATTTGAATTTTTAATTAAACACAACACACAATAAAAAAGCCAAGTACAAACTTGTAATTAGACAACTAAAAAGGAAATAAAAAAGCCAAAATCAGCATATTTAGCGAACAGGAAACACTTGAATTTAGAATACGAGCAGTTTTTCCTATTTTTCAGTCTCTGCGAAGCATTACGCTCTTTGTCCTGTACTAATCGAGTTTTCCGCTAAAAGCCGCTCAGCTGAAAAGTGAATAAAAACTAGACCGGGGCTGTTCGCAGTACTTTACTACAATTATTTGTTTTGGCAAAAGCTGTTCTAAGGAATATTTAATTGTAAAACCGGCAACAGGTGTTTCATGAAAAAATGTTTCTCGTTGGTTGAAACCAGTGAAATATCTGAAAATGCCAATAATGTGCCTGCTGGAATGTAATAATGCGAATACCGATCCACTAGCAGTGAGATGTTAACGCCTGCAGTTAAAATTCCAGACAATTTCTGGCATTTCAACTGGAATTAGGTTGAACCAATATCTCCAATGATTCATCATCAGATAGAGAATTTAAAGTAGAAATAAAAAATCCAGTTGCTTGAATTCCATTTTTGGTTGATAAATTTATTCAATTGAAAATTAGCAAAACACATGCCAGTTTCCTTTTCCATAAAACCAGTAAATACGCAGTTATTTTAGCACAAAGTGAGCAAATTCCAAGGCAAAACCACAAATTCCCTAATGAACTTCGGCATCTAATTTTATAGCAACCCTTCAGTTATTTCCTTGATATTTTACCCGATATTACGTGTTTCGCATTTTCCCTTAAACATTCAACTGCACTGACTTTTTCAATTAAAAACTTCCCTCTTTTCTGCTACTATCACGTTTTCATGTATTTTTATTTAAATTCCAATGTAAATAATAGGTATTAGGCAAGGGAGCTTCTGTTTTGACATAGAAAAACGCTTAGGAATAATCGGTGATGCGTTCAATATAATTATCGCTTAGCTGAATGCTCTATGAGTATTGATCACTTAATATTCATTTTCATTCGGAAAGTGTCGAATGAAAGAGACGCTGCTTCTTATTGGGTTATCCATGAGCAGCATATTAAATAGGTTTTTCGGCTATTAAGAAAGGAACGAACGGACATGCCGTTCATTTTAAACGGTCTGTTTTCCGAAAAAAAAGTGATTTAAATATTATTGGAGCTCACTGAGGTTATTTCCACGCTAAATATAAAATATAAAATGATGAAAAAATGAAAATGATGATAAAACCTTGTTGAAACTAGAATTTCGTATGCRGGTCTTTGCTGTGAAGTTAAGTAAGATTTATTCGATGTTATTATCATGTTCAATATTTACTCAATATTGAAATTTATGCCCTTAAAAAGTGCGCTTCGCCATCAATCATTCAACTTTCCTTGCAAAGATTACTTAGACGCAAGAAATTGAGTAAACTTTCMTATTCCACTAAAATATCGTTATTATAGATAAAGTGCTACGAATAATTAATGTTGAAGATGTGTTCRTAAATATTTTKTAAATTGTCTCAGATGCAGATCACGAGAAGTAAAATGCTGCTGTTATGATTCGAGGCGTTTTGTAATCATCCCAAGAYCGATGRTTTCTAGGAAAAAATGTGGTATTTTCTCTYAAAAAAAATAATTTTCAATTATTACTTTGAACAGATTGGGGAGCTYCACATAAATAGCACTCCGGTTGCAAAGTAAACACCATTTATTATCCGGATGGTCGCAATATTTCATTTTGATCGTTTTTAATAATCTTTTTAGGAAAACTGTTGAAACAATTATCAAGCACAATTCTTTCATTGACAGAAGGATTTGGAAAAGAAGTAATTTCCAGAAATTGTTAGAAAATATTTGGCAAATTTCTTCTAATTCTTTCTTCAAAAAATGCTAAAGTATTTTGCAACAGTTGAATATTTGTTGGCAAATATACAAGGTTTGAATTTCAAAACCAACTATTTTAAACGCTGTTTAATCTAAAATTTCAAATAGGGTCCTTTTGCCGGTGACCCATAATCTTAATACTAATAAAATTCCCTATTAAATGGTGTATAAAGGAATAAAATCTTCGAAAAATACTCGATTCAGGATTTAGAAGAGAAAATCTTTCAAGTAAGACAGAAAGTTTAGTCGACGAAATATCTAATAATTATGAACAACGAAAAACTTTCGGCATCAGCAGAGCCGTTATGAGCTGTTGAAATAGGCAAGTGCAGATTTCGAAATGCGCCAACCTCAGGCWCCCCCAGGACCGGTTTCGAGCTTATTACCTCTCATCAGTTGGGTTCAACCTGAAATGAATATATTCACATGGACGCGGAATGGCATACAGTTTTCGGAATATAATTTTAGTCTGAACCCCTGATGAGAGCTAATAGGCTCGAAACCGGTTCTGGGGGTGCCTGAAGTTGGTGCATTTCGAAATCTGCACTTGTCTATTTTATTTATTTATTATCATTATAATAATTAATTGATTATTCAACGTATTTAATTTACTTTTACTTACAGTTTCGGCTATAAATGATCATGTGAATTTTCCATGCATCAATTTAATACAGTGAGTTCCAGAAATAAATAAATAAATAAAATTCAAATTCAGCTTTAAGCGTTGATTTTTTTTTTGCGAATGAGAGTTTTTTTAGCTAATATATKTTTAAAAGTCAGTGGAGAATTCAAATTTCGGCCAAATTTTAAAYGTATTTAGACATTACTTCTAGAACTCAATGTCTAAAGAAATATAGGATTTTGATATTAAATAGTTTTATTCTGGCAAGAAGAATCTATTGAGCACAAACTGTTTGAAAAAATTAATTAATGGTCAATAAAAGAATTGAAATAATGGCGAACAAACTTAACAATAACTCCAAAATACACGTTTATCAATCGGCAACTTCTGAAATTAGAAAAATTGTAAAAATGACAAGAAAAATTCCCAGACGAAGCCAAGAAATAAAGAATCACACCCATTAAACCCAATAACTTTAATTTCACAAATAAGTTGCTTAAAATACACTAAACTGCCAAGCACTGGTTCAGAAGTGTTTTGTTTCAAATCTATATTTCTCTGATTGCCGCATTCAAATCAACGAATTTATTTTGTAAAGGAATTGGTGACAACTGAAAATTTTAAGTAAAACTTCCGTTCTAAGAAGATTGTAAAATATGGAAAGTTTAGGCAATTTTAAAAAATTTGAAGGCGTGAAGGACACAACTTATTCATTACATAAATATTGTTTTCAAAATCGCTCAAAACTGAACAATTACTTATTAGTCAATCAAATTAAAAGTTTGGAAAAAGGCAAATTGAAATGAATAAGCACAGACAAATCCAAATATTAGAGATAGAAAAAAGGACTATTTTACATGTGAAACCCGTTCTAATCCCAAATAACACCCATCGATCTAAAACCAAGCAGATGTAAACTCGGTAGTGAAATAAACCCAGCTAATCCAAATCCCAAACGATATCCTGAAATTTACATTAAACACGCCGTCTGTTTTAACAGCCAAGATAGTCAAACTTCAAACACATATATAATATCTGTTTATCAATTCATTTCCAGCCAGTCCCTGGATGTTCAAAAGATTGTCTTTCGACCCTAGATCAAGTGGCATTCAAATTTATCTAAGACCCTGGTTAAAACTTACCCAAAGGCCTGTAACACTCCTTTTCAAACTGTTGACCTTTTGTGCCAACTAGCAGACCCATAATCGCCTGTGGGAATTCGGTAATTAAGAAAAGTAGTAGAATGGCAACCAACATCCCAGACGTCCTGTCGGCTTGTCGATACTTTTCGAATTTTTTCTGGAAAAACGGACGAACCTCGTAGACATCTTCTAGCGGCAACGTGGAGCTTAGCAGGGTTTTTCTGCGTTTTTTCGTCTCCAGTAGCACTACTATCAGTTTCCGCGATAAATGAGTCAGTAAAATGCAGGGAACTAATTTTATCACCACCCCATAGAGCCAGAAACTCGTGTATTTGTAGTCTTCGTTCACGTAATCGATGATGTAAATCAGTTTCTTGGTTGTCACTTCCGTGTAGTTTAATAATTCCTTTTTGTTGAGCATTCGTCCGTGCTTGTCGCACGTTTGGTTATACGCAGTAATTTTGAGGGACAGAAAAAGAGGCGTGCAAATAACTGGACACACCAGGTAAGTGATCATGATAGCGTAAATAGTTCTGTGGGCGTCGCACCATCGTCTAGAATTATGCGGATTGGTTATGGCCAAGTACCTCCAAATGGCCAGAATCACTGTTAAACAGCAGGAAATAAAGTGAAACACTTGACTGAACAACGCATGAAAAATCATAAACAGCGCCCATTTATACGAGTAGTTTTCTATGTATTTATGGCCTGCGATATTGATGTATCTGTGGATGGTAAATGGGATGTACTCGAGCATCACCAGCAAATCCGATATGGCCAGTCCCGTAAGGATCATGTTGGTAGGCCATCGCATTTCTTTGGTAGTTAACACGCAAATATTCAACACATTGGCAATCGACCCTAAAATACAAACCACAAAACTCAACTGGCCATGGATTGTTTCGTATTTTTGGGAAAATGCATTCAGGTCACAGTATAGAGTTGTTGCGTTATTCATTGCTCCAAGAAGAAATCCTCACAAAAGCACACCGACAAAGTTTCTTCACATTGTACTGTCTGGCAAGCGTCCATTCATTGAATATTTATCAATCACGGTTTTCTGTTGAATTATCAACAATATTGCGAGCTGGGCATGCAAAGGAAGTATGTCAATCACTGTTGATGCAAACAGTGGAAAAACAGCAACATAATTCCGGAAATATTTGCAACCTTCACTCAGCTGGGGTATTTTTGGAAATATCCTTAAAAGTTTTCAATGAGGGCTGAACCGTTAATTAAGGCAACCAGCAACGTTTAATCGAAGCCCTTAATTGAACCTTAGTGGAACTTTAAAAGTACATCAAGGCCAATTTCCGAAAATTGGGACCACGAAACGTATTGAACAATAATAAAATAATCAAAATCTCTAGAAACATTTCCTTAATTAGGAGTTTCGATTTATATTTCCCATCGAAGCCCATCTAATTATTACCAGGAAAGTTCAGAACCCCATGGCACATTATTTGACTGAACAAATTCGAAGAAATGATTAAATGTTCAACCTCCCAGCAACACCATTAAACTTTCAGTGAGGACCAAGTTTCGGCATTATTTTCTTGCCAACATTCGGAAACTTTGAAAAAGTTCAGCGCGATGAAAAAAAATTTGGAAACTTTACGTAAAACGCTATTTTCCGTTAGCTGCGGAGTTGTTTGCAGCTGGCCGATCCAGCTGATGCGCTTCGGGATACTGAAGAAGAAACTTGAGTTGAGCGGCTTGCTGCTGAAACTTTAAAAACTTCTCGACGCATGCGTTTATCTGATTCAATTGAATTGTTTCTAAATGTTTGATGTTTCTTGCAATCTAAACTGGAAGTTTTTTTTGGAAGTTCATGTAAAATTCGCTGTAGTTTATCACGATATGTTAAGACGAGTTTTCTCTTCTCTTTGGAGTTTAGACAACATTTTATGTTGTTTAAATATGTTAATAATAATTATTAAAAATAATTGTTTAATCAGTAGAACAAAAAGGTTTAAAATTTTTGCAAAAAGATAAAAGGATTGAAATTCTCCCTGCTGATTACTGCTGATATTGCATATGTATTATAAAAAAATTGTGAACTTTCAAATGAAGAAAGATACTCAAAATTAAAACTGAAACTGAAACTGAACTGAAATCACCCGATGTTGGCAAAAATGGAAAGTCAAAAAATTATAAGAAACAGGAAAAATTATTTGTAACAAACCAAATTTTCCAAGATAAAAGTAGTTCAGAAAATAAGTTTTTAATTTCAATAATTATCCAATTTCTTTACTGATGAATGTTTTAATGAAAAGCAAAATCCAAATAAACCCATTACACAATTTTTAACTGCATTTATTCCGGGAATGTCAGATAGAATTAAACGAGTAGTTTAAAAGCAATATTTATTGGAATTCAGGTCAAAACTGAAACGATTAGAAACAAACTTTCAAAAACGAAACTTCATGAGAAATTTGAAGATGCGAAAAACGTAATTTACAAATTTTTTTGCCAGAGTGATCAAATAATCGAACCAAAGCTCACCAATAATAGAAAAAACAAATTCCTTTGAATGGAATGTTTTGAATGGAACGCAAACCATTACTTTTTATTTTTTCAATTCTTTTATTCACCTAAAAAAATATTTTTATTCCCCTCCCAGACAATTTTCTTTTCCTTGGATCAGCTGAATTTTACATTAAAATCCTTAAAACTTGGACTTTCTCAATGTTACTTACTGATTGGTACTTCAAGTTCACTGAAACCTGCCGACTCCAAAGCTTGAATACTTTCAGACATTTCCAATAAAAAAACAACTGTTATTTTTCTGTATTAGCATAAAATGCCCAAATGGTTTCATTTCAATTCCAGTTTCCAGTTCAATAATTCTAGGTCTGAAGTCTCTTTTCGAACAAATGTTTTTTTATTTTTATAAGGTTAGCATTTTTGGACAGAAGCTCCATTTCGAAGCGATTTTCAGCTTCAAAGAGCTGGGAAGCTCTAGGGCCTTGAATTTTCAAATGAATTATTTCTACCAGCCCTGGAATTTAGTTTCTGCTATTTGAATATACGACCGTTTTGTATTTGAATGTACGCTTAATTAATTTACCAACTAAAGTGCAAACCCATTCAGCTAATTTGCATATGCCCAGCTGAATTAGCTTGTAGCAACGCCGATAATCATAAATGTTTCAATACTGCTCTGATTACCCTTTAAATGGTTTGTCCATAATACCAGTAAATACGGGAAAAAATGCTGCTAAATCAGAATATTTTTAAACGTAGTACGTTTCAAAACTTCAGATACGCCGAAGAAAAGTGCCAAGTCGTAACAATTCCGATACAATCCAATGAAAAACTTTATCAAACAGATCAGTTGTAAAACTCGACAAAGCGATGACAAATTGCAAAGTTTAGAGGCGTTCGAATTTAAAGTTTCCATGTCGCAAACCAAATACAAATTTCTGAAGTTTCACGCGCAAAACTCGGCTATTATCGCAAAGTTTCAAGGCGGAAATGTATAGTCAAAGGATTAAAATTTATGGAGTGGAGTATTGTCGCGTCCAAATCGCACATGTTCCGTTTGCCTGGAAGAAACTGTGGTTGGCGTTTAGCTGACTTGAAAGTTAAATTGTGCAAAATACCATTAAGTAAATATCAGCGATCTCATTTCAAATTTACCAATCCGGTCTTCGCGGGAAACTTGCAGCTCGGCTTCGGACTGGCAAGTTATTTACGATCAAGTTTACTGCAGAATTGTGATGTTGCACTGTGAATGCTCGCTTAAACTTGCAGTTTTGCGGACAAATTTTATCATTCAATTTGGCTTGTAAATCTTGACGCCTTCGTCTTTTAAAACTTGTGGAAGTAGGAAGCAGAAGCTTTTTTGTTCAAATTCAAATACGTAGGAAATTTGTCAAAGTGTTGCAATAAAACCAACTGACTGAAAAAAACAACCAGTTTTGTAAAGGAAAAATAATTTGGTGCAACCCAAAATTGCTCCTTTTAGAACAGTGACTGTCTGCTCAAAATGTTCAACTGTATGATGTAAATTGTTCAGATCAATGTTTTTCTTCAAGCCAACGATAAATTTATAATCGATGCCCATAATGTTTGAACTTTAACGATTAATAAATCCAAACAAGTCTTTTGCATATAAAAATCACTTTATCACACAAATATTACCGCTTTATTGGGTAATATTTTTTTGCTTTTAAATGCTTCGGAAAGTATGTCCTATTAACAGTTTACAGCAGTTTAGTTTCGACTCAAAATACTTTATATTTTTCTTTGGTAAGCTGTGCAAGATTTCATGTAACGTTTTTTAGTTAGTTTGAAGCGGGATTAAACTTATATGAATTTGTTCGGCAAATATATGTAAAAAGTCCTTTATTTACAAGCTTCTCACTCAAATACGCCTCCTAAATCGCGCAAATAGTTCCAAAAAACAACATTTTCAAAACTTGAGTTTGGTTAACAGAAATGTTCGTTAAAAGCCGAGTGCACGCACAATTTGTGGATTTTCACATAATTCCGTTGTTATTTGCAGGAGCTTGACTTTTGGAGTGAATTGTGTTGTAAATTTTTCCCTTACGAAGGAAATTCAAGAAATATAATTAATGCAAAGCCACTGCTCAAAGGCGCTTTTCAGCTTTACCGATTCAATTTTCTTTACAAGGCTCCTATTAAATCCAGACCAGTCAACAAGGACGTTTTGCGTTAATGGCCCAAAAGCCAAAACCCTACATCATAAAACGAACAAAAATTGCTGTTCGCTAATATTCATAAATCAGGAACTAAGCCAGCTTTTCACGCTTGGAAGTTGTAACTGGAGTGAATTTATGAAGGATGATTGAATGAACTACACACACACAAGAATGAAACCTCATTTAGATATTTGATGTTATTATTACATAAAATCCTATTGTTATATTTATTAAACTTTTCTGGGTGGAACGTGTATTTTTTGTGAATCCATTCGAATATGTTTAAGGGTTATTGGATGAAACCCCAAAAAAAACATGCACCGAGTTTCGCTTTCCATACAGTTTCTAAGTCTACAGTGGCTAATTTCCAATTAGATTAACCTTAACAGTATTTACCCAGCTTTGCATTATAATGCAATATTTGCTGTACGCACGATATTTCATTGAATTTTGCGTAGGATTATAAATCCAAATATTGGACGTTCATGGTTCGAAAATATTTGCAGATAAACTCTGTTTTTATGCTAGCTCCCCGTTTTATGCTGAGGATCGCAACTTAATTAAAAAGTTCTTGCCAATATCTTGTTTTTCCAGCTTTCATTGCCTGTTACAACACAACTGGGCTCGTGAGTTTAGTCTAATTGCTTATAACTTAAAATTTTTCACACAGCTCATTAAGATTAGTTACGACATAATCTGGTTTGAGTTCGGGGGCAAAGCTCCAATCTTCAACCTGTTCTTTTGTGGTTACTCCAGTTAGTACTAGGCAGGATTGGTAGCCAGAATTCACTGCAAAGCCCACATCGAAACGCACACTGAAAATTAAGAGTTTCTCAAAACTAATTAAATTTAATTGAAAATTAAGCTCTTACTTATCGCCGACCATTAGCACTTTGCCGCTATCAAAAATGTCAAGTTTCGAATTAATTACTGCTGAAACGCCTCGTTCAGGCTTGGCCATGCCTACAGATTTTTTTCTGGTAAACCTCTCAATTTCTTCTATGTAATATTTGGGACCTGAAAACCCATTTTTCTGTATGCTTTTAATTAATTTTTCCATCAGAATACACCTGAAAGTTTTGTGTAATATTGTTCTATGTTCTGTTGTTCTATTTAAATTGTATCTAATGAACAATTTAAACAATCGCACTTTCAATGGGAGTAAAATAATCAGCAGGGCTGTTCTGTTTTTATGGTTACTAAAGTTTAAAATTAGATGTTTTTGAAACCATCGTATAAATTTACAAAAGTACGCCAGCGAAACGAATTTTTCCTTATTAATATAGCTTGATTTTATGTATTTAGTGACTGTAAAATCAATAATCTACCTGTTCGGATCGTGTACCTACATCAAATTTCAAATTGGACTTTGCAACTGCACTCATTCGCTTTTTAATGCGTAAGAATTTGAGAATAATTGACTTGTTTTGTGCTTTATAATTGTCTCAATTTTAGTTCGAATTTAGACTTGAAAACTTGTTTGTGTGAAAAAAAAAGAAAAACTTGAATTTAGACTTGGAAACCAAAAAAGGCGGCAACCCATCTTTCAATCGGGCTGCAGAAAATTTGCGAAAATTTCCAAGCTTCTCACAACCGTAGACTCTTTGGTAATTTAAAATAGTAAAAAAAATGTAAAATTTGCCAAATACCTTTTACCTATTTAGATACAATGAAATAATCATTCTGTTTGTTCCAGATTAGTTACAATTTTACTTTGAAATTAGACTTGAAAACTGGGTTAAAAATCTGATTTGAAAAAATTCGCGAAAATTTACAAAAGTGTCTACTTAAAATTAATCTCATCTTCCAATTACCGCTTTATTTATTTTATTTAACGGATATAAATTGTTCTATCACTGTTGATATCGTAGTAATGATAGTTTAAATTTGTTTTCGGCAACAAGTTCACACCACTGAACGCTCTTTGATAATGAAAACTCGGTCAAAATTAGCCAAATATCCAATTCAACAGCTTGGTTTTCTTTATTTATATACACAGGTTTTGGCTATTTAATTTTAATCATCATCCTAGCTGTCCAGCTTTAGTTTTAATTTAAATTTAGAGCTAAAAATTAGGTTAATTAGCTAGGAAAACTGGCTTAAACTAAAAAAAAAAGATTTTTCCGGTAAATTTATATTTCCCAACTAGTTCACATCAGCGTGTCGGGTCAGCCCTTCAATCGAATTTTGTGTGAATTGGAACCACAGATTTAAGGTATTTTTTTAAGTAAAAAACGAGAGAGCTGGTTTTTCCTTATGGCAGTTTAAGTGCGAAAGCAGACTTGGAAACTGACTCGACAATGCTTCAATCCAAATTTTCTTTCATCCAAGTGTTTTTTGCAATTTCATCATTTGTCGAGTGTTGTTTTCGCTATCGAAGGCATGAGAACGCAATTATTTATCTTTTCTGTCACATTAAAAAGATTTAATTATTGCACAAGCAAACATTCTAATGAGAATAACTAATATTGCAACGTGAAAGGCAAAAACATATCAAGAAATCCTAATTAGCTTAAAACTCAAATGAGTTTTCTTACCAACTACTTTGAGCTTTTCATCTAATGCTCCCATATCGTCTACTGCCCCACTAAGAAGCAAAATATCTTTTTTCTGCATTAGAATCATTTCAGCCACCAGTAGAGCTGCGTAAGTATTATTGCAGTCCATATCAAGATATACAGCTCCTACTTTTGTGCAAGCATCTTCTGCCTTCTCCAATAACTTCTCCAGTTCAACTGGATCTTCGCTTAAGTCTTCAGATTGAATATCCTACAAATATGAACAGCCAGCATTTAGCAACTGATTTCTTCAATAGGTACTTTCTAACATCAAACAAGCATTTTCTTAGGAATTTAAACATTACTAACTTACCTTGTATTCGATCAGTTTATAGCCAGCATTCCTCAGAAGTCTCTTAGTTACCCCAGAACCGATTATATAAATCTCCTGGTTAAATTTGCGAGCGTCCAGGTAGTCCAGAAGAACCGTATTGGGGGTAACGATTTCTTCACTGGAAGCTTCAAACGGTTTCAGCCGCTCTTCTAAAACAGCCATTGGCTGGTAGTAGTTGTTGGTGACAAACGCCAGCTTTTTACCCCGCTTTCTGAGCTTAGAGACAAATTGTTCTGAGCCAGGTGTTGCTGTAGAGTCATTTAGTAAAACACCTGCAACAGCCAAAGTTCTAGCTTTAAAAATTCCACAAATAAAACGTCTTTCTCACCGTCAATATCGCACAACACTACATCAACTGACTCAATTAAACTTTTCACTTGGTCTTCGAAACTTGTAGGGATCCACTGCATTTCAGGCATTTTGCATAAAATATACTTAAATGATAGGGAAAATCAAGTGTGCTGCCTCGACTCAATTAACTACGAGAATATCGAAATGTTTTCGTTTTTTTGTTTTTATCTGCTTCTCATAATGCGTCGGTAAAGAATGAATTTGCTACAATGTAATTAACTTTATTAATCTGCAATTTATAATTTTAGCATCATATGAAACATGTGGCGAAATCAAAATGTTATTTATTGTTGAAGGCGTGCTGTTTGATTTGTGCTAATCTATTCAGACTCAACTGACGTCGCAGAATGTTTTCTGTGCTCTAAACCAAAAGAATTAGCAAGTATGAAACAGCGCAAATTCATGATATGCATGCACTCTTTTGAATCTGTATTCTTAAATTACTTTTAGGGAAAACCTTGTGTTACCTTTATTATTCAACACATGGTTCTAATTCTCTGTCATCTTCAGATGGGCCTTCGGATTTCAGTTATTTTTTCTACTTAAAATACGAGAAAGTTCTCTTTCCCTTTTTCTCTGACTTGAAATGAGTATATTCGGTCCATAGAACAAGTTAATTTGCTTTAGAGGCGGGCGGGTGTTTTGGTGAGTCAAAGTTTGATTAAATATTCAGCTACTAAGATCAGAAACAACTTCGCGTATAAAGGAGGCAAAAATGGCTTTCAAAAACTCAACTTTCTATAGGAAAAGAAAATGTTATAAAGTCGAAACCCTGAAAAGAATTGCTGTAAATATTTGATGTTGCCCAAAGTTGACCAATATGAATTTTTCTTTCACTTATACGTTTGATCTCCAAATAATCTGTTTGCCACCTTTTCAATAAAACTGTTTAAAATCGGTAACTCAGTGGCATTAACTACAACCAATAATATAAAAACGACAAACCAAGCGAATGCATATAAAATATGTTCCCTCTAATCTTACTCTGTTCGATTGATTACAAAAAATAAAATTTGCTTGCAATTAACCCTGTTCAAAAGCTCAACTTTAATGCGCATTTTTGCTATTCCAGGGCCACAAGCTTTTACATTTACTGCAAAGATTCAAGCACCTTTTAAGTAATAAATGATGCATCAACGTTGCAGACCATTTAATAGCGGAGCGTCTGTTATTCGGAAAATATAAAATGTAACTTTCCTTGGAAAATCGGTCTCAATCCACTCGGTCAAAGGAAAGTTTGCTTATATTTGAAAACCTGGAAAAATTTTTAATGGACCTAGAGATGTCCAATGGTTTACCATTCATTTTATATTCATCTTAAAAGTTGTATTTTGTGGATTTCTATCTTTTATTTTTCCTTTGTTGTTTCTTTGGTTATTTCCCTCTGGTTAAGTCTGGTTAGTGTTGATCTTCTAGTTCGAGTTTCACATGTTAACACTTAGTATTTCCTGCTGTTACTGTAGCGAGAGTATGTCTTCTTCTGATACTTCTTCCGCAGAAGACCTTGAATGCTTTTGTGTGGAACTAGACGCCATTCCTTATGGGCAGCGATTCATAATTCAGGAATTAATGTCAGGACAGGCAAAACCTTCTTTAGTCTCTTATACATATGTCTTGAATGAGAAATTTATTTATTCACCTATAGGTCTGTAAGCAAACAACTTTCAATTTAAAAAAAATGTTAACGTTTCCGATCGTCCGTTAAGTCTTTTAATTTGAAATTATTTACACAAAGATAGTAGAATTATTGCATGTTTAGTCTATAGCTAGCTTACATTCTCTGACACGAGGCAAAAACACAAATAGAAATAAAGCTGTTCATGTACTTAGGAGGATTAGTGGGAATTGTAATCTGGGAACTACAAATATCGTGTAAGTTAATGTACATTTTGTTTAAATTAAGTTAGTTAAAATTTACATTTATTCATTCTCAGAATAGGAATCAGTTTAGTAGCATATAAGTTTAGGCAAATAAATGATGGGGTTTAAATAAATATAAAAAAAATAAATCAACGCCTCATTAAAATTGGCTAACACATTGTAACTTTGGGTATTTTACAGTGTGTTTGGAAAAAGTCCAAAATATTTCTGTACAAGTTTTGAGGATCCGTTTTGCATTTTGTCAAACTTATATTTTCAATTTTTGCCCGCACATTTCAGTTTTCAGTGGTTTTTGTCACAATATATCATCAGAAAAACAAAGTTTGATGAAATAAATTGAATACAACCTGGAACACTAAAAATATTTATATTATATTACAAATGATACATTTTCCTGCCATTAGGCATACATTTAGAAGTGGATTGTAAATTTGCAAGAAAATCAAACATTGTGGAAGTTTCATATTTGTACAAATAATACATACGTGGGCTTATCTAGTTAACAGCTGACTTTTGAAAAAATATTGTTTTACAAAGGCATTGTTACACATTCGCTCACAATTATTGAAAATCTGTTAAACTGGTTTATTTTTAGCAATTAATAACAATTGTAAATATTTGAAAACGATCACATATGATTCTGTTTGTGTTTGGTTTTGAGGCTAAACATAAGAGCGGTTTTCTTTGAAAAAAATCTTTATATTGCAAAAAATGTTGAAAGTTTAGCAAAATAATGTGACGGTTTAAATCGTAAAAAAACGCACAAAAAATTTGTCGGGCTCTCAAGCAAAACTGCAGCAAATGCAGTGAAAACCCGTTAAAGTAAACAACCGACGCACTGTTCAGATAAAGCCGATGCAATTTAGAAAATCGAAGATAAAAATAGCGGAGTAAAAGTTACCAGCAAATACAGGGAAATTTCAGAAATACAAATGAGTCATTTCTTTGCTTTGGCTTAGTGGAAAATATAAATATTAGTTTCCAGTCAAAAGTAAATTTAGAGACAAGAAAGAACAAAATTGGTAGTTGATAAATTTAAGAAACAACAGAAGCATGCCATGTGAAGGAACAACATTTGAATATGAAGCCAAACAATACAGTCAACAAAAATGCACAAAACTCATAGAAGCAACATACTAAATAATAAGACTGAAAACTTTAAACTTCAGACAGATGAAAATATTCATAGCAGCCAAGGCATAAGTAAATACTACAAACAGAAGGCACGACAATTTGTGCAAGAGAAAATATCACAAGCACAAAAACTGCACTTAAAACCTTGGAAAATTATCGAATTTCCATCTTATTTTTCTAGACATTCTCTCTTCCATCGCGACTATCTTAAATCGGCTGCTAAGACTCAGTTCTTTTAGTGAAATCTTTGAGCGTATGTATTTGATATGAATTTCTATTTTTTATCCCATAATAACTGATGTAAAACAATTTCTTCTATAGGTGCCATTTCAGAGTTTCAACTTTTAACTTTGTCTTTGTGTAGTTTTTCCTTTTTTGCCCCTCCTTTTTTTTAATGTGGAGTGTTCTGGATAATCATGAATTCAAAATATTTATATGCGCTAATAACTGAGCAATTTAATTTAATTTATTTTCTTCCGGTTATGTGAAGTAAACGGTGGTTCACACCACAAAACTGGGAACTAGACATAGTCATCAAGCCAAAACATGCTCCAAATTACCAGTAACATATACATTTTTACATAACTTATATAAATTAAAATAAAATTTGAATAATGAAAAAAATTAATATAGAAGAATTTCAGAAATATAAATGCTGTTTTTCTTGACCCTTATGTCTAAGCCATTTTTCTTTATTGGAAGTTTACAGCCAAATGTAAAATTTTCTGAAAAACTGGCCCTAAACACCCTTAGAAAAAAAACAATTTGAGTACGAAAAAATAAAACTGGCACTTAAATTGCAACTAAAATATTGCAAAATGGTAGACATTCAAAAATCACCTAAAACCCGCTGTTAAGCACCTCGTTCTTCTAGTGAAATCCTTTACTACTGAATGTGTTGGATATAAATTACATTTTCACTGCATATTTAATTTGAAAATTTCATCTTCTCATTAAATTAGCTTAGGAATACATCTGGAATATTTAAGAACTTGTGGCTAAATTTTCCTGTGTAAAGTTTCGCATTGTTTGAGTTTTAATTGGTTTGTCAGATTTTCAACATTCTAACATTTTTTCTGATTATTTTTTAAGTAATATTTATCCGCGCTTTCCCCTATCCTAGAGATTTAATTTCATTTATTTCTCGTTCACTTTTATGGAAAGTAAACTTTGCTTCAGACAAAATGGGCCCTAAATTACGAACAAAAACCATTTTCAATGGAAATTCGTCAAGTCGTCACAGCTAATTTAGGAGAGAATACAATAGCCGGGACTATTCCCGCAAAAATTCTCACTCTCACTCAAAGACTCTCAAATGTGTCCCACAATAAATCAGCGCTCTTGAACCTCTTCTAATCTAATCTGTAATTTTCCGACCCATTTCCCGTTACAACCTGTCATTGAATCGGCAGCTGTGCGGTTCCTGCATCTCCAGGCTTCACCAGCTCCCGGAAACTTGATGTCTGCCATGCTCTGTCCTCTAATTTATTTGAAAACAGGTCAAACGGTTTCCAGCCAAATTTGCATTTCATTCAACACCAAAGGAATTTTGCAATTATTGGCTGTCCCAGTGGAGAGCAGTAACCAAGTAGAGCTTTTATTAGGTTTTCACTGAGGCCCTTAATTATTTAGATTCTTTTCTAGGGTGCCTTCTGGAAGTTCTGCTGCTGATTGTACGTTAAATTGGTACAAAAAATGCTTTTCTGATTAGATGTTAACTTTAATCAAAGCTAAAGCCTAGTTCCCAACCTGTTATCTAAAGCCCTGCCTCAATTATTGTCCATATACAACGTACAAGGAGAAAGTGTTGGAACTTTTTCGAGTGAATATTCCTTGATAATATCGTGGAGTTCTGCACTTTTTACAGCTATTTGCTAATTTTGCTCGCCCGCAAAATATTGCAGATCCTTTTACTTCCAATGAAAATGCTGAAAGACCTTCAAACGAATTTTTTTCATCAAAAGCAGTGAATGTTCAATAAATAAATACTTCTGGGAAATTTTTCGCCTTTTCATAAATTCATAGGCAAAGTTGCTGCCACGTGCCCGGCCCTCTATACAATAGGAATTTTCTGTGGGACGCACATAAACAGTTGAGAGCTTTTATCAGTTTGAAAGCTAGGAATTTTAATAGACACCAGGCAGGATTCACGGTGCCGACAAAACATCAAGTTTCAGGATAAAATTATTTTCAACTTTGCTGAGTTTCGTTTCCCGTTTTTTCTGCAAGAGCAGTGCAGCTAAAAAATTTCGCCCGAGGGTTGGGATTTTGCTTTGTAAACAGGACAAATAATAATCGTTGAAAATATATAATCAATCTTTGTTAACAACTATTTACAACAGTAACAAAATATGTACAGTACAACACTAACAGTTTTTGAATGCATTGCTTACAATTATTTTAAATCGACACTAGTTGATTCCGTAATCAACCTGGTCCATTCAAGCACTTTCATCCTGAGTCGGCGGGAACACATATTTGGGTGAGAGCTTGCTGAAATCAACGTAAATCTTCCCATTGTTTGCGTCTAGCTGTTTGGCAATATCTTCGAATCTGGGCCGATCTTCTGGATTTTTCTGCCAACACTTCTGCATTAAATCGTACACTTGATCGGTGCAGGTTTCCGGCCTTTCCAGCCGGCGCCCTTGTAGAATATGGGCAATTACTTGGTCATTACTCAGACTTTTGTACGGAAAAGCGCCTGAAAATTCATCCAAATAGATAAATCCTTTTGAGATTTTGCGAACTTATACCTAAAGTGCCGATTTCCCATAGAACAACCCCGAAGGACCACACGTCCGTTTTGTTGTTGCATGTTCTGCTTTCGATGGCCTCTGGAGCCATCCATCTAAGAGGTTGTCGCTTCTGGGCACTGTTCACATACACTCCGACTCTAGCCATTCCAAAGTCGGATATTTTCAATAACTTGTTTTCCCCTATCAAAATATTTCTTGCCGCTAAATCCCTGAAAACGCTAAAGTTGAACTGGGAAACCTCCGATTTTGCTGAAGATTACCGATGGGTGATTCCAACACTTTCGAGGAAAGCCATTCCATTGGCAATTTGCAACGCGAAGCTCTGAAGCTGTTTGCTGTCGAGCACCGGCTTTATTTCCTCAGTGTCTTCCTCTATTAGGTTGAGCAGTGGGGTGGCAGGCAGTGACTCCAAAGGAGTGAGAAGAGCTGGAAGATGAGGCTGAATTAAAATCAGTTCGTTAATTAATCAGTTAATTAAAATTACTTCCTGTGTCAGATGGCAGGCCGCTGGAAGACTTGGAGTATGGAGTCAATGGAGATTGTGGCGATAGACAAGCAGGTACGAACTTGTTTGTGGGCTTGGAAATTTTCAGTATCCTCTGGTTTAGTCTGCCATCTTTAACTGGCGGAGTTGGAAAAAGCGATCCAGGCGTACTGGGAGTTTTGGGAGCATCTGGGGTTATGTAGGAGTTTGTCTCTAAACTGACCGTGCTTCCAGTATAGTCTCTGGAAATGAGGTTTCAATAAATCAAGGAGTTTTTTATTCGAAATTACTTTTGATTTACCAACTAAACTTCAAGAAATTGAACGGCGCACAGCCAAATTTGCTCTAACTTTGCAAGGGGATAAATTCTGATCGCTTCAAGCGATTTGGCTTCTGTTTGAAGCGGTATTGAGCTCCACTTGTTTTCTGTTTGTCGACAAAAGTTAAGCATTGAAGACAAATTTTGTACAGGATGGTACATGAAAAATAGCAAAATTTTTTGACAAAAAATGTTTTCTTGCATCTTAACACTAAACGTTCAAAGATAAACTTAATAGCCGTTTTCGAAATTCCTTTCAACTTTTTTGTCTTGGAGCAATAACTTTTCTGCTCTTGATTAAATTTTTGCGATCTAGCGCTCATGTTGGAGCTAAAACTTTATAGACAATTTAAGGCAAAAATTCGACGTATAGGGTCACATGAAGAATGACCCAACTAGGAATTAGCATCGATTTTACACTGAAAATCTTGCGGAATTTCAACTACGGTGAAATTCACTTTAAAATGGTTTTATTTTCAAAAGTCCATTCTTGCAGCAACTTTTAGCTTCAACATAAACTGTGGATTTTTCTAATTGGTTCAAAGACGAAATATGTCCCTGCAATACCAAAAAGTTGATTTTTTTAAAAACCCTTTAAGTCAACGAGATGAGCGAAATTTAACAAAACTATTTTTTGAGATGCGAGGTTTATCTTTATGCCTGTAGTGTTGTAATAAAAAACACGGTTTTTTGCTCAACTGAGAGCATGCGGAACATTCACCAACTTTGGATTGTTTCATTTGTCCCCCTATAGAAAATGTATCTAAAGCACAAGTTTTTTGCAAATACACGCGCTTACCGGCACGAAATTGTACTAAATAACGCTTTAAACACGAATCAAATGACTCTCAGCTATCAGAATGTATCCAAATTTGTCAGGGCAAAGTTTATTTTATTGAGCAGTTTATAAGGAAGTTTTACTTACTCAAAAGCCAAATCGGTGTATTGAAGTGTCCTGTCGTTTTCTGGTATTGTTCCATCAGGCAAATAGTTTTCCACAATCATGTTACTAAAATCGAAAAAAACACTTTAAAAGGTCGATTAATTGTCTCCTTCTTAAATCCGTTAAGTGCGTCTTAAAAAGCGATAATTTAATTAAACTTTGGTAAAAAATGTCAATTTCGGTCATTATACAGCATAAATAGCAAAAAAAACTATTTTCTTTGGAGCAATTTCGAAACCAAAGCGTTTCGAAACCAAAGCGTTTCGAAACCAAAGCGTCGAAACCAAATTGTGTCTTGGTTTTCTGCTACTATCGATGACCCATAAAGCCAAGAATTTCAATAGGCTTCTTTTTTCTCAAATCTTCTACCAATTACCGTAACGGCTACTAATCAACTAACACATTAATTAAGAATTTTGTGAAATTCCAACCCAATTACTGCTGACAGAATTTCCTGACAATTTGTGCAGCTGATGAAGGATTAATCACCGAAACGGACAATATTTAACCATTGATTAGTATTTCCTTTTTAATTAGACCAAAAACTCGAAAATTTTTAAACAAACAAACAGACAGGAATAGTTGAAAAAAAATGTATTTCACACATAATCATGTTCGCAAACTGTATCTGACCAATATGTAACAATCCAATTTACACAAAAATTACAAAAATCATTTCTGGGCACCGCTGAATACATAAAAGAAAGTAACAAAAATTAATTCCTTGGCTTAAAAACTACAGGAATTTAATAACACGATTAAGAATAAAAATTTTATTGGTAAAAATACGGTGAATTAAACAAATTTTTTATTTTTCAGTCGAAAACTCTAACAAGTGTTTTCAGCAGTTAAATATGACTTGCAAATATTGACGACTTGGCAAGGCCGAAAAATGTCCAGACACAATGGTGAAAAAACGGTCTTCCCGCATCTCAATAAAGAAAAAATCTGGCGCTTTCATCATAATGGAAACTTTCTACTTCCTCAACATTCGTGTCGATTTAAAACTTTTCTAATATTTCCTGCGTTGTTGACCCTCAAGAAATATTGAAAGACTCTTCGAGACTGTTGCCCACGTTTATTGAATTACTTCGAACAAATATTTCGAGCTGGCAAATTATGTATGAAATTGAGGATTTTGCCTAATCCCTTAGGTTTTCCTCCAACAACAGTATGAGGCACCATTAACTAATTAACATGCTTAATGAAATCCATTAACATTCGCATTTGCCCAACATTTAATGTAAACCTAGACACAACACAAAGGAAATGTACAAGGGAAAACACAAAACACTACATCAAATTCACGTTACTTACTACATTTCATGTAGCTTAGTTCTTTGTAACTGATCGGTGCCGATATTTCGGTTCTTGTAACTAAATAACAGATGTGCAATTGTAAAATTCAATATTTTAGTGGTGCTCGCCTAATAAATTCAGACTCAAAAGTACAAAAGCACTTCCTGTGGCTGAACTTACTCTGGGAAAAAGTGCCGATGGTTCTTTTGAATCTTCCTCTCCTTTCTCTCATCCCATCGTTTCCTCATATTGGACAAGTAACTTTTTAAACATCCATTCGGAACCAGTTCCATTACCATTATGTAAGGAAACTCTATAGTTACACACGCCAGCATTTTAATAACATTCGGGTGTCCTCCAACACAAGTGATTTTCTTCATCATTTCTATTTCGGCCAGAAAATCGGCTGTTTCTTCGGGCGGGGCGTTTTCTAAAAACGACTGTTCATTGCCTGAACATTTGCAAAACTTTCTACCTACGAATTGGAAGTTTGGCCGCTGCATACATATATCCGGGTTTATTGTTTAAATTGTAAACTTCAGCTTTGAACACTTTCCCAAAGGCTCCGCCCCCAATTTCGTTCATTAGGGTGATTTTGTTGCGAGGAATTTCAAATTCGTCCAACAAGCGACTGCTCTAAAGAAGAGAAATTTAATTGAGTTGACTATTTTTAAGGCTTTAACTAATAACTTACAGCAGAAAATTCTAGGGGCGTGTATTGGGTGTTGATGCATTCTTTTCTGAAAGATCAAAAGCATAATTTAGAGCAGAAAACCAGATAAAAAGTTTAATTTTCAATACTTTCAATACATTTATACTTTCAACTGGTGAGTTTCTCGGGTTTTTAGGTCGTCGTAGAAAAGAAATCCTTACTGACGTTTACCAAGCACGAGTGACTTAAATCTGCAGACTGATTTAAATCAGTGAAAAGTTCAGAAGAATCTCTTTTCCACGACGACCGACAATACTGAAAAAATCACAACTATAAATAAAATGTGCGTCATACTTCGAAGGATTATGCATGAAAAGTGACAAATTTGTTTTTATTCATACAAGTGGGCAAAGAGCAAACACGGAGTCTAAAATTATATAAAATAGATCATTAACACCGTCAATGGGCCCAATAGAGTGTTTAGAATCAATCACTCAATGCCTAAATCAACACCGTCAACACTCTTGGCAAAAACATATTTTTATCTCGCCTCCCTCAACCGTTGCTTACCTATTTCCTGGGATATTTGATAAAGAATTTGCTGTGTAATGTACAGGCAGTTCATGCTTGAAAAATGGGACGTAGTTTTTGAGCTTTTCAAAGAGCTGCGGCTTTGTTTTCAATAGAATGTAAGACAATAAAACAATTAGTCCAATTGCTGCTGTTAGGTAAAAGAACACATGGAGGCGAGAGCGTTCGGTGCCTCCGTTTTTCGTAACTACAAGCAAAAATCCTGAAAACTGTTTAACAATTAGTTCGATTTTAGCACACCTGATATGATAGTGTTGAAAGGATATTTGCAGTTGTCCAGTAGCAAATCAACATTAACCTTATAGGAATTGCCTTCCTGGAAATCGTCAAAGGTTAAATTAAATTTGTTGCGGGTATTATCAAAGCGTATATGTTCTGGCTGTACCATTGTTACAGTGTTTCTAGTGTTTGTGCTTGTGCTACAACAAAAAATAATTATTAACGTGAATTTAAAGAATTCAGTCTGATTTTTCATTTAATCGTTCAGAGGTGGCTTTTTTTCAAATTTAGACTTGATTAATTTATTCCTGGTCAGAGTCAGACGTTGAAGTTTTAACCCAATTAGAACATATTTATGTTGACGACCAAGTTGAAATTTCCAGCTTTTATCGCGTACACAAACATGCGTTATCTGAATGCTACGTACTACCAAACTTTATCAAAAACTTCTTCCAGAGTGAGATCCGAAAGACTGTTGGTTTTGTTAAAGATGAGTGTGTACGAGTGACCGTCGATCCTCTGATGGTTAGTATATACAAATGGTGCGTCTGCAGCTCCACATTCGCAAACTTCTCCCACACAGTCTGGAAATCGGATAAATTATTCAAAGTGGGAAATCACAAAGTATTTTGATTCTTCATGGATTGGTGGCGTGGAATTATAAAAACTTCGTATAAAGGCCGACGTCATATTTCTTAAAAGCCTGTTATTTATTTGAAATTTATTATTCTCCGGGTATGCGAATCGAAACATTCCGATAAAACCTTTTATTGGCCCGCTTATCTCCGCAAAAGTCACGATAAGCTATTCGAAAATTGCATCAAGGCTTTCGCCTTTTTAGCTTTTACTAATTCGACACCTGTTATTTACAACTCGGGTTTATTTTAGCGCATTCTTTTCGCATGAAGGCAATTAACTGGGCACGAGAAAATAAAAGAAAATATACGGCAAACAAATCCGGACTTATTGATGCTAATCGTGAACAAAACAACTTAATGAAGGTATTTTGTTTTGTGTTTGTTCCAAACGTTGAAAGTTTGGAACTCAAAGGGTGTTTGTCAACACTGCTGGGAATTATTCTAGTTGTTGCTTACCAGGTATTTTATAATTAGCAATTTGCGAAACAGTGCAGGTCTCGTTTCCGAACGCAACTCTTGCGACCAAATCGAAATCGTATTTACAACCATGCATTAGAGGCTCGGCAGGGTGTGCCATCGTTTCCATATTTGGTTTAATTAGGAAATTTGCCTGAAAATCAACATTTTAATTTTTATGAAAAATAATAAAGAATACCACGAAAGATACTGATGTCGAAACTACGGAGTTTTTAGGCCTCAAAACCGATGTGAATGTTTTTTGCAGAGGTGTTTTGCTCAAAAGCACTGGACTTATTTCCGAGAAATCCAATAAACTGATGAAATTGGTTGACTGAAAAACTTAGCAGTTCCACATCGACTTTTTTTATACAAACTTACATCCACGGAAACATTTAAATCCCCATATATGGAACTGCAATTGGTTTCTATCATCATTCCAAAATGGCTAAAATTCGCTGAAACCAGACCAGTTATATTAGGGTTGACCCTTCCAAACAGCCTTTGTGACTATCGCTATTCAAGTTAGTTTTCTCCGAAAATCCCAGCTTTGAGGCTGAAGACACTCAAACCGTTTGTTTGAATCAGGACAGTTCCGTCTAATAACTTGCCTACCTTTTGGATTTGCCCAAGAAATATTCAGCCGAATGTAACGATTTTTATCTATAAAAGATGTGATTGTTAAGTCCTCAAAGAGGCCTTTTGGATTCTGGCACGACAAAGCTGCTGGCATAATAGCTTCATCTCCATTAATCAACCAAACAACCTAGAACGATAAAAAATAATTAAAATTAATATTTATCAAAATAAATCTACACGTTGAAGTGCTGTGATGGATTAAAAAGTGAAGAATATTTTAGATGAGCACAACAATTTTGGCAAGTCCAAGCTGTAAGTTCTGTGCTCTATTATTGAGAAATTTAGATACTGTTGTGTATTTTTCAACTGAAATCCCGAGCAGAAGTGGCAAGCTTAAAGATAGTTTGAGACTAAACCACCCATCACCTTAAAAACGAAAAAGATCGTTAAATTTCTAGATACCAATTTTAAAATTATCTCTCCAACAGTATCGCACGCGGTGGAACTAAGCTGATAAATTGCATGTAGTAAAATTTAAAAGAATCGAAAAATGTTCCCTGTTTTCTTGGCTGAATAGACGTAAACTCATAAATTAAGATCTCGACTTCCCGATCCTCCCAAGATGAAAACGACGACACAGGAATGTAAATAAATTAAAAATAACCTGATAAACCAAGGAATTCATCAGATAAAATAATGAAAAGTCTAACGCGAACCAAGTAAATTTACGATATAAGCCGAAGGATTAAGCGTTGTTAGCACTATTTAAATAATTTTCCTAATTGATGGTTTTATAGCATGCAGCTATCTAAAGCGCTCGTGCGTTTTGGTAGGACTTCAGCAAGCCAGTTCGAATTAATAGTTGACTGGAAGTTAGAACCTAAATTTCTTTAGCAGCCATCGCTAAAATAGCCAAAGAACACTTTTCTAGGTCGCAGCAAAATAAAGAATCCACGATAATGTCATTATCGGTATTGCGTATATAATCCTGAGCTGAACATCAATCTTGTCCTGTCTTAACAGATTTTTAGTTAGCATTCAACTTATAAGGATTTTAGACTTTATGACGCTCTCACCTCGACAGTAACCAAAATGTAGAAAGTACTCCTCCAAAGCATTATCATCTAAAGCCCCTTGTGCTTCATGGTCCACTTCGAATAAATCCTGCGTTAGTTTCAAACGTTCTTTTCCAATCTGAAATAAGGAAACGATTTATTTAGCTGATCACTTACCACCAATAGCTAATCAGATGGCAGTTTATTATGCATTATCCTTAACTATTTTATTGGTAAATTAACAACCAATAGCAGAAGTGATGTACACTTATGTTCTGCTAATAAATTAATTAATATTATGCCCCAGTTTTATCTTGGTAATGACACTCGTGCTTTCATCGATACGCTAATTTCATTATTATTGTTTACAGTGTTTGTGTTTGCTTAACACAAAAATACGCACTCACACCTGAAAGCTCCGAAGAAACAACAAGCACCAACAGCGAATTAATTTGAATAACCTTCTATTTTTTAATTTCCGGTTGTGGTGTTTTTGTATTTAAGGCGTTATTAACAGCAAATTTGCCCAAAGTTGTTTACTATTTCCACATGCAAATGGGCATTTTATTGAAAAGCCTCAGTCCGATTATTAGAAAGGTCATCCTCTTTATTGGCATTGATTTGTTCAATTTTGAGGTATTTATTAACGGCTGAGAAAAGATAATAAATGATCACTAGATGACTTGAAATATATGTATATGGTGATCTACCAGTTTAAAAAAAATAAAACTGCCTGTGAATTTTCTGAGTTAGTGATAAATAAGAACCACTTCAATTACAAGTGTGGTCTAAGTGGGAGTAAAATAATTTTGTTTTTTTAATGTTTACCCGTTATGAGGTAAGTTTTTCAAATATTTTGCTCTCCCGAAAGGAAAGTTCCTTTCTCCTCAAGAACTAGCCAATATTTTAACACTTTATAAATTATAGTTTTTGTACAACATATTTTAGTTTGTTAGTTAGTTTGAATGAATTTTAAAATCTGATGATGGTGCTGTTGTCTCGCCGAATCGTAACGAAATAAACGATATACAAAAAAAAATTGTTTCACACTGTGACTGAAGCCCAGGAAACAAAATGATATAATAAAAATTGCACGAAGTCAGGAAAATAAATCAAAGTAAAATAATTAAGACTTCCAGGTTTTTCTTAATCTTTCGCGTCACAGCCGAAGGGCAAAACTGGAAAAAATTCACAAACAAGAGAAGATTAAGCCCGAATTGGACACAGTTGGTTGAAGTACTTTTTATTTGCAAAATTTCCGATTGATTCTTGAAAATGGCCTAAAAATCGGTCCACGTGTCAAGTGGCTTTACTCCGTTCTCTTATTACATTCTGTGTAAGCTGAACTTGTTGCCAGGAAACTAAGCCTGAACGTAATTTGCTAGAAACACACGAGAAGAGAACAACAAATTTAACAATTCACATTGAAGTAAGCGTTTCTCGATTTTTAAAGAAGATACACACACAAGTCTAAGCCCGGTGGTAACACATGTGTAGGGCAAGATTTTCTGAGGAAAAAAACTTGAATTTTTACCTTCTTTTTAAACGTTATACTTCGATTTAAGTTAACGAACGTTATACTTCAGTTAAATGGCCCAATAAAAGTTTGTATCGTTGAAGCCGATCATTTACAAGTTGTTAGCGTTTTTGCAATATTATTATTCTTATTTACAGAAATGCTCTTCTCTCATTTGCATTTAATTAACGTGAGAGTTTTTCTGCAGTTTCAATACCTGGAATTATCTGTTTACTGAACTGTTGTTCTGAGAATAATTTTAAGGATTGCTATTGCATTTTTCTGTAGTAATGTGGATTTCATGGACTCAAAGTAAACGGGTTTTATTCAATTACAAGCACACAAAAAAGTTGCAAACTCGTGGAAAGCATCGCGAAAATCTTGGAAACAGAAACATTTTGTTCCTGACAAATTTTCAGTCAGTTTTCAATTTGAGTCCTGCACTTATTTTCAAACATTGAGTACAACGACCAGTCCGGGTTTATATTAAATTTGGATTTACCCTAAGGAGCTTTCCGTACTTTTGCACGAGTTTGAACCGTTTTTGCCCAATAAGACCCTCAGGTCAGCTGATAACTTGACGATGTTTCTACAGATTTCATATCTAGTCAATATTCTATTTCCAAAAATTTATCAACAACGTCACTTCTCTGATTAGCAGCTACAGTTTTACATGTTTTCCCGAGTAAAAAATACAGGCAAGGTGCAATTTTGTCCATGTTCCTACAGTTACCATTTTCGAGTGAGAATGTAGTTTTCAAAAATGTTTAACTTTTCCTAAAAAAAGTAAACGGTAAAAATCTAAAAACTTTTCCTTGTTGTTACGCCAGAGCGACTTTTCAATACTTTAAAAATTCATACATCGAAAATGGTTAAAAATACCAGCCACCTTTGATTTTAAGGTTTTCCTTTAAAGTTATGCAAAACTTCAAACTTTGTACACCTTTTCCATATTTCACAGCTCGATTATCATTGAGTGAACTGCAAAAATGTCTTGTAAATAGAAATGTTTCGAGTAAAAATTTAGAAAGGCTTCAATTTAAACATACGTACTAAGCGACTAAAGATTTTTTTTTGAAAATGAGAGAACCTGGTTGCTTGGCTGAAGAGTTTCGTTTTACAACTGATTCCTTTGTCTTTATACGTTCGCAACAAGCAGTTTGATTTTTTGGTGATATCTGGATTTATTATTATTAGTCGATGTAGAGTTTTGCGTTTGATTTTCGTGTCCACGACAATTCCTAGATACCTTAAGTATCCCTTAAGATCCTTTGGATCCGTTTTGCCGATGTTTTGGATTTAAACTCTTGGGTTTAAAATTTTGGACGGTGTAGCTATTCTAGCCATCATCCGTTCCTTATTTCTCAACATTTAAGACGGACAACGTAGTGCGGATTTGAGTAGTAGATAAAGCAGGCTTTACTGAAGACTTAAAATTATTAGATTTTTATTTCGAATTTTTATTTATAAAATATTCGAATGTTTTGGTGGTTTAGCCATTCTTGCACTGTCATCTGCTGTTCCTCATTTCTCCACATTCAGGACAGATACAGGAATATCGACATCAACTGCAGATAAAGAACACTTCATGAAAGACCCGGTGTGAACTTCGATTTATTAGGGCCAGTGATTGATTTTGTATTAATTGATAATTTTTGAAAATTTAGGCGGTTTGACTACATTGTCAGTCGTTTTGTCATTTCTCAATGTTTCGAAGAGATATCAGAATGAAGACATCAATAGTAATCAAGGCACACTTCATTTAAGACTCGCTAATTTCCCTTCAAGTTTTTGGGTGATTTAGTCTTCCTTGCATTGGTTTTGCTCTCATTTCTCAACGGCCAGAAAATATATGGGAATGCGGACATGATCAGTACATATAGGAAGCTTCAGTAAGGACTCGGCGTTACTTTATTTCATTTTATATTATGATTTTACATAAATTTTCAATGTTTTGGAATCTTTAGGTGGTGTGACCATTTTTGCACAGCCGTCCGTTCTTTATGATTTTTCATTGGTTAAAGAAGATATCGTAATGTGAACATCACAAGTTAATATGAAGTTAAATACAAGTTAATATAAATAAAGGAAGTTAAGTTTTGGACTTGACAGATTTTTGGATTCATTTGAACATGTGGTTCATTTTGATTCAATTGACAAAATTTGTAAATTTTTGGGCAGTTTTACAATTTTTGCACTGCCGTCCGTTCTTCCTGATTTCCCATCGGTTAAAGAAGACATCGTAATGTGCAGATCACCCGTTGATAAAGGAAGATTCGTTTAGGAGCTGACTCAAGTTTGGCTTTATTTGAAGCTGTGGTTAATTTTACTTAAATTGACAAAGTTTGCGAATTTTTGGGCAGTTTAGCCATTTTTGCACCCGTCTTTTCTTATTTCTCAATAGTTAAAGGAGATTTCATAATATCCGCAACATCACTAGATAACCGAAGCTTCAGGTAGGATTTGAGGCTATTTAGTTTTCATATGAAGCAGTGGTTAATTTTGCATAAAATGACAAATTTTTAAAATTCTTAGCCGTTTGTCCATTTTTGCAATGCCATACTGTTTTCCTCATTTCTCAACACTGAACATAGATAAAAAAGATGCGGAACTGAGAAGTAGATAAAAGAAGCTCGAGTAAAGTTTTGGTGTCAATTTGGCTCAATCCCGGCAAGTAGTTTAATTTATATGAATTCAAAAACTTTTTTCATTGTCAATATCCTGGAGAGATAACGGGGTGTAGATTTCGACAATGGATAGCAGAAACCTGATTTATTTCTTTGGTGAAAAATTGATTACACCGATTGATATTTTGATTTGTATGTTTTCTAGAGTTATTTTTTCGATCTTTAAAAACAGTTGTTAAGTTTTATTAGTCAAAGTACGGTGGAATCAGATATTTTTAGCAAACTTTCTTTATTTATTCACATTTAAAACGTTTACATTTTTATCAGATTTCCTATTGAGACAGGAGAGTTAACTATTTCGCGAACCATGAAATAAACGAGACAGAAACCCCATCAATTTGTTATGATGGGGTTTCTCATGATACAATATATTATGTATCCGTTTGTAATAACAATATATTTATTTATGGCATCTTCCTGGCCGTACGTTTGAAATTTTACAGTAATGTATAAAAGCCGAGATAAAGATTCACGACACATGTTTTTAAAATCGTTAAATGATTATCACCTGTAATACTCTCGCGCAAAAATAAAGTAATAGCAAAAGTCAGTTTACGCAAAAGCGTCAAGCCACATCTTGCGACTATCACATATTGTTTTCGTTTTATTGATTTATACCTTTATCGTATATCGAACGGTTTAACTTGATCTTGGTTTAGTATTTAATTAATCCGATTGTGTCATGTCAAACAGCGTGTTTTGTAAGGATATGCTGAAATTCTCGTCACTATTTATATTTGTTTTACCCACTTTATTTTAACCACTAAGAAACGACTCTCATGAACATACGACCAAATTAAAGCGCGCAGCATCAAACCAATCGGTTCACTAATTAATCATTCTGCAAGAAAATATCTGCTCTCTTTACACGATCAATATCCCATTGGCTATATTCAATGATCCTAATCAACGACATTGGTCCTTTATAGATGAAATAAGTCAATAAAGCGTTTAAAGTCCTCCTATTTTGCATACTAATTTGCTATTAACATTTGCAGGGGCTGTTGAACATAATTCGTCTCTTTCCTGACTGCTAAATTAAGAAAAACCCAAAATAAAAGTGATGAATAGTATGTTTTTATTGATGCGTTAAATAAATCTCTTCATAAACAAAAGTCGGTAACTTTACCTCTACTTGAATTAATTTCTATTATTTAAAGCAATCAATTTAAAGCTGTTTGTTATTGAAAAAATTGTCATAGGGTTTTAAACTAAGACTCATTCAAATAGTTGCTAAATTTGAAAAGATTCTGATTTGGACTAAATGCGTACTTCTAGCTGATTTTTATCGTGATATTGTTTGAAGGATTTGATTTTTTGATTGAGTCCAACTCACTCAATTTTCTTTTAGAAACATTTCATTCTTCTCTTTGTTCTCCTTCTCATAATAGCCTCCTTCGGGATTCTTACTGTGACGCTAAGCTCTAGCTTCTCTTCGCTTTCCGCAAGACTTCAGGAGTTTGGTTTTTGCGACTTTTTGTCCATTTTTTTATGTCACATTCTCTCCAGCACCTCCTGCGTGTTCTGACCCACCTTTGCACAGCCTGTATTTCCAGTTGCTCTGTTATATCCCGACCTCTTCTTCTATCCCTTGATGGGTCTTAGTATTTTCAGTTCCGTCGTTCTCATTATTTTTTGCGTTGTTGATGTCTCATTGCTGATTTCTGTGGTGTCCGTGAAAATAGGTTTTAGGCACATTTTGTAAATCCTCAACTTGGGGCAACTTGAAATTTTCTAATCTCCAGACCAGATTAGATAATTGTGATGATTTACGTCGAGCTTTTCGTAACAAAAACCCGAAGGCTGATTAAGATAAACAATAATTAAGATAATAATAATTAAGATAAACAAAATGAAAAAGGGCTGCACTAATTCCGTTTAAGTTACCTACTCTAAACTATAGTGGATTTTTAACTCTAAAAAGTTGCTAAAAAATAAATTGCTCCATGCATCACAGTTCTGTGGACATTTAAAATTGTTCAATATTTGCCTTTCTACTGTTTACCTCCAAGCGCTATGAATAAACATTAAACACTTTCGTGGGAATTATGAACTTAAATGTTAATATAAACTGGAAGGCGCTAATCGACGTGTCAGAGCTAGCTGGGCGCTGATTTAACATGATTTAAACTTCTTCAAAGTCCAAACATTAATTGAATAAAACAATTTTACACTAACAGGATTAATAACACTTGATATATGATATAGTACGGATAATTTATGAATTTTGCTGTTGTAAATATTTAAAAGGTAGTCATTATACATGTGTTCAATATGGATAAAATTAGATTTCTTGCGCTAAATTTGATCTATGTGTTTAGTTTACTTTCCATAAATTTTTTATATAAATTTAGCAATTTCGGAAATGGCGGCGGCCATATTCATTTACTAAGCTCATCCCAAATAAAAGCTTCCGTTTGTTTTCGTTTCACATTGGAGCAACGCGTTTTAAAAATCGCGTTTTCTTCAAGATTGTGGTAATGTTTGGGCAATTTGCACTCAATTGGTTCTAGAACATGGCAAATGACGATTGATTTAAACTGACTGATACTGAAAATACGTAAATACACGTATTTTTTTATATAAGAATACAATTTTCAGCTTCAATGTTGGCATGCTTTGCTACTTTTAAAGGCATTAATAAATGAAAAGTGAGTTGAAATAATCGAATCCAGGTGTTCAGATGTGCGTTTTTTGAGCTCAATAGATCTTTCTCCATCAGCAATTTTGTTTCTCCGAACAGTTGTGATAAAGATTATAATTATTTGTTTAATTTCGTTACTTTCGTAGTACTTTTTAGTGATCCTTAAAATATGTCCGTTTTCTGAGTTTGTGTTTTTTAATGTATATTTATAAAAGTTTTAATGTTTTGTTATTTGAGCCCAAGAGATTGTGTACCTAAGAAGCTTTCAGCGATTTATTTTAAATTGTGGTTTGACCAGATTTTGCATTTAAATTCATTACAGGTGCCTCATCGTCTTTCCTCCATGTAAGCCTCTGTTAAAACGTTTCAGTTTTCTTCTAAACAAACGCATGACAGACTAATGGAATGAGACAAGCAAATATTTGTTTTCTTTATGAACTTGTGTGCCTCAAACAGAGGAAAAAGTTTAGTCGATTTTTTCAAAGTTGTGCATCTTTATTTTTTTTTATAATAACTTTTGTAAATAAACGTTTTGGTTATTGGCTTCGTGGGTGAACTGACTTTGCATGCAAAAGAGAGTTTAGTTAACATCTTGTGGAGAAAGGACCGAACTAAGATAGCGTCTACTATGCAGGACAAAGTGTGATTTTTCGTACTGAATCAATTTTCACTGGTTTTCAGTCACTAGAACAGAATTATTCTTCATCATTTTCGACGTTTTGTTATGAGCTGCTGCAAACATATTTGAGCTGCGGGATTTTATTTGAAAATACACTCACGAGACGGAAACAATTATGGGCCTTCCACTTTTGTCTGAAAAAAGATGAAAGTCAATGCCCATTTTGGCAATAGCTGATGCTTGAATGAATGTTTGAACGGAAAAATATTAGAAGTGAAGGTATGAGAGGGCATAAAACAATGAGAAATCGGATGAGACGCGGAAGGGGAAGCAAACATCTTGAGGACTTCGGAACAAGCACAGATTTGAGACAAACGGGGGTTTTGAGCATCCATTCATAATAAAAATGTATTAAACTCATCGAAGGCAAGACCAAGAAGTTCGTGTATGAATGGAAAGACGCAATAGGAATCGATTGTAATCACAGATTTATTTAAAAAATATATTTACACTCTGTATTTAACTTACAACCTGTTTTTCCCACAATTGCAAAAGTTGAAGTAAATACTATCCCTTAACTAATTGTCCGTTGGTTATAATAATTTGGAATTTTTATTGAATACGCATTCAGTTCCTTAACTGTATAAACCATAAAATTAACTCATGCCAACAGCAATTAATTTACTTAAAATATTCTATATATTCGGTTGGATTATACAATTTACGATACATTTTTCACATAACATTGGAAATTTAATAGGATGAAACGATAATCATAAAAAAGTCTGAAAATAATATTTAGACTGTTACCATTTGGTTCCAAAAGTAAATCAATTATTGAAAAAGAGTTTCCTTTGAAAGGCTAATTTACATAAAACGTTCCTGGGTAAAATAATGGCATCAGTTTATAAAAAGACAAAATTATGTTGCTTCAGCATGTGGATTGTATTCACTAAATTATTATGATCCTCATTATACAGGAGAGCTAGACCTAGCTAGGAACAAACTTTTTCAGAATACCTTGCATCGGTAGACTAGAATCCATTCCCAAACTCTTTTACGTGGGTTTATTTGCAACCACCGAGTCTGTTGCAAGGGTTTTTTGTATCACTTTGCGCCCGTATACATATAATTTAATTAACACTGACTGTGGTCCATTAATATAGTGGCCAAAGAGTCCTCAACAAACGCTTAACTTTGGGAAAAAAATGTGCGTATTTGCCGAATTCATACCAAAAACAAAATTTTCCTGGGTTTAATGTCGAATTCAATTGCACATGAGCGAAAACCACACCTTTACAGCTTCATTCTTCATTAGACTTTCAATTCTCTTCTATCGGTCTTGATCGATCGATAAACTTTTCCTTTTTTAAGTTTTAAAAGTTGTTTAGTTTGGTTTAAGTTTAGTTTAGTTTAAGTTTAGTTTAGTTTAAGTTTAGTTTAGTTTAAGTTTAGTTTAGTTTTTAGTTTAGTTAAAAAAGTTTTAACTAACAGCATTAAATACGTTGTCCGTACATCAATGAAAATTCACCAGCAGTTTAAATTGTCATAAAATATTCAGCTGCAGCGAAATTGCTGAAAAGTTTGCTCCGAAAACTAGGTAGACTGAAGATACGCAAAGAATATTCAGTTTTATTCTACAAAGTCGTCAAATTCGGGCAAAAAATTCATGCAATTTGCGCAGTTTTTCCGAATAATATAAAAAGCAATCAGAAATAATGTGTACCTATATTATCATCCCATCAATAAAAAGGAATATGATGATAATCAAGCGCGTTCTTGTGTAGCGTGCACTTCATTATGTAAATTTGCTTATGGGAAAATTGCCGATTAATCAATAATTAATTTACCCACTATTGAACAATTTCGCATATTAAATCCTGCATGGGAAAGTTTTTAGACCACAATATTCTTCAACTACTCAGTGTGATAAAGTGAAATTAAAATAAACAGCAGCTACTGCGATAAGCAAATCTTTTTACCTTTGTCTCCCATTATTTAATTAATATCCATTTTGATGCCAGGTAATTAAATTTGTTCCATCACAGTAAAAGACAATTCCTCCTAATAAATAACGTAATATTTGTTTATGGCAACGAACTGGAAAACGCACTTGTTGGCGCAAAACGTCGCGATGCTGAGCGTCGGTTTAGGAGCGCATATAAAAAGCGCCTGTCTCGACCGAAATTAAACTGTGAACTGGAACAAACTGTGCGATAAGTAGAAAAATGTGATCTCTAATCGATTATTGATAATCGAACTTAACATTAGTTGCTGGTAGTTTGAGAGATAAACTTATTTCAATTAATTGTAAGACTGTCGCTACTTCAACTGTGTATTTATTTAAGTACTATTAGTTCATATCGCAAAAATTGTGGTGATTTAGGATACTTCAGGAGTTGTTTGATTTTGCTATACTTAGTTCATTTATTGTTTTGCAATCCATATTTTTTAACACCTTAATGACAATTTCAATTAAATCATAATCAGTCGGTAAAGATTATTAAAATCGTCCAGTTTAACTCTCCCGCCAATGTTTGCATCTCTTTCTACTAAGAAAGTGCCGAGTTTAGAGCAGCTGATCTGGCAACGTCGTTCTCCGCTCCAAATTATAACCGCGGCGCTGCCGTGTGTAACAAACCTTCCCTGGATCTACTACATCTAAATTTTAACTATTACAGCAAATGAAGAAACCGTTGGGCCATTCGATAACATTCTGCCTTGAAGATTAGTCTATCAATTCCAATAAAAACATAATTTAAAATATACATTCACCCTCAGAAACATGAAGATTGTCAATCAATAATCGCAAAGAGAAAATTCTAATGCAAACACTGGCAATATGCCACTACTCTTGTCACTCATCACACACTTCATTGCCAAAGTCAGTGTGAAGTTTTCCGCACATTTTCCAATTTATATTTGTTTATTTTGCGGCGAAAATATTTTTATATAATTACTTTTCTTTAAAAATTGACTGTTGAGAACACTCATTAGTCTATGCAGTGTCGGATCGAACTATTCTAGTTTGTGTTAAGATTTGTGTTGTGAATTGAAGTGAACTTTTTAATTCAACCAAAATGGCCCATTCAGGAGCCGTTCCAGGAAAACGCAAGGAAATCTACAAATATGTGGCCCCTTGGCCCCTTTACAGCATGAACTGGTCAGTCAGGCCGGATAAGCGGTTTCGATTAGCCCTGGGCAGTTTCGTTGAAGAGTACAATAACAAAGTGCAAATCGTGTCTCTTGATGAGGAAACCAGCGAGTTTCTGGCCAAAAACACCTTTGATCACCCTTATCCGACCACCAAGATTATGTGGATTCCCGACAGCAAGGGAATATTTCCTGACCTTCTAGCCACAAGGTTGGAAAGTTATTTTTTAGCACGTTTGACAATGGTTTATTTATACACCTTTTTTATAATAGCACGTAACATTGATGATATTTTCAATCAACTGGTCTTTTGCAGCGGTGACTATCTAAGGGTGTGGAGGGCGTCTGATCCTGACACAAGATTGGAGTGTGTTTTAAATAATAACAAAAATTCCGACTTTTGTGCCCCATTGACGAGCTTCGACTGGAATGAAGTTGACCCCAACTTAGTCGGCACATCTTCTATTGATACCACGTGTACAATATGGGGACTAGAGACTGGACAGGTATTTTTCAATGAGTGATTAGTTGGAATGTTTTTGTTTACTGCAACAAGACCACACTGATGTAATTAGAAAGCAGAGTTTTTCGCACATTATTGGAAATTTGCACCCAAGAGATGACAATTTCTGCGTTTTGTTCCAGGTATTGGGTCGAGTAAATCTGGTCTCAGGCCACGTGAAGACCCAGCTTATCGCACATGACAAGGAAGTGTATGATATCGCATTCTCCAGAGCTGGAGGAGGGAGAGACATGTTTGCATCAGTTGGTGCAGATGGATCTGTGCGAATGTTCGATTTGAGGCACTTGGAACACTCTACTATAATATATGAGGATCCTGCACATACCCCTCTTTTAAGGTACTCATAACGATGGCTAATAGCCTTTCAGTAACCCACTGTTCATGAAAACTGAAACTGAAAAAGCCGCTTTCATTGTAATGATCGTTTTGACAAAGCATGTGTTGAACTGCCGGAAATTCATGGTACATTTTTCGACGGAAAAGAGAATTATGGCACAGTGTGGACGGTTTCCTTTTTAGTACAGTTAAAGTATACAAATTTGAGGTTCTCGGGTATTTCGACAGAAGATTCACATTGCTCAAAAAGACTTCTACGTGAAAAATCTCTTCATGAATAACGAAAGCAGTTTTTTGCTCCCTCTTGTTTCCACCACGAGCTTTTACTTCTTGAGACTTAAAAATAAATGTGGCTTCCTGCAAATGATAGCTGGGTTTTGGATATACTGGGCGTTTGATGAGGATAAGCGGCTTTAACATTGTCCCTACTATGTCTATCCCTACTAGGTTGGCCTGGAATAAGCAAGATCCGAACTATTTAGCCACCATTGCTATGGATTCATGTGAAGTGATTATACTCGACGTGAGAGTGCCGTGTACCCCCGTGGCTCGACTCAACAATCACCGGGCTTGTGTGAATGGAATCGCCTGGGCGCCGCACTCAAGTTGCCACATTTGCACCGCAGGTAATTGCGTACATTCGCCTAAAAATGCAGGTTCTATTCAATTTTTTTGTTTGTTGCAGGCGATGACCATCAGGCCCTAATATGGGATATCCAGCAAATGCCCCGCGCTATTGAAGATCCGATTTTGGCTTACACTGCAGCTGAGGGCGAAGTCAACCAGATTCAATGGGGCGCCACTCAACCAGACTGGATAGCGATTTGCTATAATAAATCGCTGGAGATTTTGCGGGTCTAATGCAACTTGCTGCGTGTGCAATTCATCGGGGATTTTACCTCTCTTTTATTGAGTTGACATTTTGTTTAAGGAAAACTGATTTTTTAGAGAGTAGGTTGCAATATTCACTTTCTTAAACGGCGCTAGTTTCTAGTTTATTATCATGTCAAATCTTCCTCAAGTGTGTCTTCTAACTGAAATTAGAGGTTTCCTACAAAGAACTTCTACAGTGTTGACCCACACTTGGGGCCCAGATTTAATTATTTTGCCCTCCAACTCCTAATTTATACTACCAATGGGTAGATTTTGAAATCAGATACAGTCGCTGGTTTTGTTTTACTTTATGTGATAATTTGTTTTTAGGAAATTTTCAGACTGCATAAAGTGCAAGCTCTTATGTAGAGTTAACTTCGAATGAGATTTTGATATCATTGTGTATATAAACTCTGATTAATTTATATTTTTTCTGAGTGTAACAGGAAATTTTCTCTCGTATCCAATGTTGAGTTAGGTTTTTTAATATAATTGTGTACATATTTTATTAGCTGAATTGTTTTTTTTAACCGCCTATATTTTTATCTGAAAGCAACGGCATTTGCGTGATGTTGTCTTAATGGCGAATGTAATTATTGCCTCCGCCACTGGCAAATGTTTGGAGTTTTGAAGATGGCGCCAGTGTTTCTGTTTTCATGCATTTCTGTCCATCTAAAACAATTTTCATCTAAATTACCGTGTTTTCACTAGATATTTTGCAAATTCCTGAAAAATGGGTTTAGGAATTTTGCAGTTTGCACGAAAATATAGTTCCACTAAATGTGTCACCTATTTTACCACACCGATCTACTATGTGAATGCAGGTAAAAATTCTAACCTATATTTGCCAGACAGTGGCGTATCATAGGCAAATAAAATATTTAATTAATAAATAAAGGTTTAATTTAAAAAATTATATTTTGCATCAAAATTACTTGTTCATCAAACTACATCATTCATTCGGTTAAGGCAAAACGTGTTTTTTTTGCAAATATAAACGACGTAAAATGAAAAATAAAAACATTTTAAACTGCAAACGGTCATTTTTTTGACCATATTATACCAATGCGTTTTATTCAATTACTCTCACTTTTTTTGAAAATTTTTATTTTCACGTTTCAATTTCAATTATTAACTTGTTTCCGCTGTTCTGGCTGCCATTTTTTTTAATAAAATTTTTTTTCATTTGGCCCTTTATTTTTCTGGTTTCTCCTTCACGATTGTTTTTTTCATATTATCGTATATTCATGCTTTCTGCTTTCTATTGTCTCTGTACTAATTGGGTTTTAAAGTCGAAAAACAATGAGAAAATTATAGAAACAACTTTTATAGGTATATAAAGCTAATAATTTTAGAAATCTTTTCTTCACATACCGTATTCCTGATACATACTCTTTATTTCTGATTTACAGAGTTACGAAATTTTCATTAAATGAAATAACATTTATTAATATTTCAGAAACCGAATATTTAATCGACATTTTACAGCTTTTGGAGCCAACGATTCCAAGGTTTTGACTAAACCAGTGATTTAGTTTTTTTACTGAAAACTGTTCAGCGCCGTCCTGGTAAAATTAACACCAGTTTTACCAATTTTAAGTAAAAAAACTAAATCTCTGGTTTTTGTTAAAATAAAAATCATTTTTAAATTCTCGTTCCATTTGCAAGAGATAAAGACGGTTGGTTTTTTTTATATGCGACGCACTGTTTTGAGTAAAAAAAGAAAATTGATTAATATTGTAATAGATTTTACGTTTATTATCGTTCAACCTTCTTAATTGTTGATTTTTCCTGATATTTGCTTATTATATATTCGTTTGTGTTGTTCATGGATATTGTCTATAATTTTTCTATCTAAATTCATTAATGCGTTTGCCGTTCTCGGTGAAAAGAACACATTTTCTTTCGAACATGTCTTACTACCTCTGAAAGAATTACTGTTCATTTTTAGATTTAACTGTAGATTTGAATCACACGTATGAAAAGTCCAATGGGGATAAATCTGGTGATATGAGCAGGTTTAATTTAAATTCTTAAAGTATATATTCATGATTTGTTCGTAAAATTAACCTCGTCTTGAAATAATTCATGCGTTTTCTAAATTCTTGAGGTCAATTCAGAATAGTTATGTTTAATATTATAAGTTTTCCAATAGGTTCTTTCTCAGACAAATGCAGTTTTTTTACAGTAATTAGTAACAGTAACAAATAAAATTCGGTCGAAAAGCAGGTTACTTATCGAGCACAATCATGTCCAAAATAAATTTGTAAATCAACGTAAAAAGTAAATTAAATTAAAACAAGTGAAATTATTTAGACTAAATCTGAAAGTTATCCAATCTACAAAGGATTATATTTCAAAAGACCAATGAAGATGCTCAATTTCGCCTTTGATTTGCAATTTAAGTTTTTTTCGAGTCTTCGTAAAACGTTGCCTGCTGAACTTTGACCAAATTCGTTCTTTTTGCTTTTCCTTAATACTTATCCTTTTCGCCAGCCGACAATTCATAAATTTTTTTAAAGTAAACTATGCTATTTTCTAAGTGAAATTCACCAGATTCTTATGGCATATCATTAGAAACATATATTTCCAAACCTCTTCCAGAGCCTCACATTGGCCATTTATACAGCTCGGTAATAGCGGACGCTTCAAAGAGATGGACGCAGATTCTTCACAGAGACGCCAAAGTAATGTTATCGACTGGTACCGATGAACATGGCACAAAAATTCAACGTGCTGCCAAAGTGCATCAAACCACATTAAGTGGATATTGCGACAAAATATCTTCTCAATACAGAAAACTGTCTGATGAATTCAACGTGGATTACACCGATTTTATTCGAACCACTCAGGACAGGCACAAGGAAACTGTACAGAACTTTTGGGTAATTTTTCTTTATCGGCAACCCCCACTGGTTACAGCAGCAAATTGTAGAATGTTTTGGCTGAAAAAGGCCTAATTTACAAATCAACTTACCAAGGCTGGTATTGTGTCCCGGATGAAACGTTTCTGAGCGATTCCCAGCTGAACGAAGTTGAACGAGATGGACAAAAACTGTTGGTGTCCGCAGAAAGCGGACACCCAGTAGAGTGGAGCGAAGAACCCAATTATATTTTCAGGCTCAGCGCCTTTAAAGATGACTTGATCTACTGGTTGAAGAAGAACGGCAAGTGGTGTCAGTGCTGCTACCAAATTAACTCTCGATTGTTAATTAGAACGTTTTGAAACTTCCAGAAAAGGCGGTAGTTCCTCACAAGTTTCACAAAATTTTGCTGGACATCATCCACTCAGACAATGCTCTGGATGATATTTCAGTTTCCAGGCCATCTTCAAGGGTTCACTGGGGCATTCCTGTTCCAAATGATCCAGACCAAACGGTTTATGTTTGGCTTGACGCTCTGGTTAACTATCTAACAGTTGCAGGATATTCGCAGAATCCAACTGATAAATTTCCACAGGTTTGGCCGCCAGATGTTCAAGTGATTGGAAAGGATATTTTAAAGTAAGTTTAGAGCAAAAGGGAGTTGTTTTTTCGAGATGGTGAGTGGTTTTTCAAAGGTTTCACGGGGTGTATTGGCCAGCTTTTCTCATGGCTGCCGGCTTGGAGCCGCCTCGATGCCTTCTGTGCCATTCCCATTGGACAGTTGATAGCGAAAAAATGTCCAAATCAAAAGGAAACGTTGTGAATCCAATGGAGAAATCGGATGTTTTTACTGCCGATGGTTTAAGATATTTTCTGCTGCGCGAAGGTGTTAACCACAGCGATGGCAGTAAGTTCTTTTCGTAATATTCAATGTGATTTACCAAACGCCCTGCTCTGGTAGATTATGGCAATAAAAAGGTGATTCAACTGCTGAACGCGGAATTAGCGGACACTTTGGGCAATTTATTGAGCAGATGTTGCGGCAAGGCCCTCAACCCCGATCAAGTATTTCCCAAAATGCACCCTCAAAGCTTTAGCAAAATTTCGTCAATGCAAGCCACCAGTATACTCTTGAAGAACGTTGAACTACTCCCGAGTAAGTTTCTTGCAATCGCAGCCTCTTGTGGCTTAATGGAAGTGTTTTCCAGCCGTTTGCCAGCAACATTACTCGGATTTCAACTTCTACAAGGCAGCTGATGCAGTAATAGCCGCGCTGCATGCAGCCAATGTGTTCTTTGATACTCTCAAGCCATGGGAGTTGAGGAAAAGCGACAGCACAATCGACGAACTTCACGTAGTTTTACATCTTTGCTTCGAAACGCTTCGAACTGCAGGCATTCTACTGCAACCCTTAATGCCCAACATCAGTGATAGTGTACTAAACAAGCTAAACGTGCCTAGAAGCGACAGGTTTTTCGATAATTTGCAGCAGTTTTCTTGGCAGGATGAGCGTTTTCAAACTAGGCCTTTGGGGGCTGAAGGAAGCATTTTGTTTAAAAGAATTCTTTTGGATGTTGCAAAAAACAAAGCCGCAAGTCACAAGTGAAAATACTGCGTTAGTTTCTATGAAACTTTGAAAAACGTTTCTTCTTTCTTTTGTTTGTTGAACAAGTACAACTATAGGTACTTTTTGTAAATACACTTTGATGTTTCCCAGTATTTTTTTGAATATTCCTGCCCTAATCAACTAGATTATAATAAATGGAATGGAAATAGTTTGCGCATTTTGAACGTTGGCTGGGGCGCAAGCAAAAGAGCTCCTATTCTCCCATTCTGTGTCCTCCTTTCTGCGGGTATTGATTCGGTTTGCCTGCCTTTATTTTTGTTTACTCGTTGCAAAATTCGTTGTTTTTGCAGCTTCTTTCCTTTGAACACATAATTTCAGGTGAGCGATTTTTAAATTATGTGGCAGAAGAGCGATATTTTTCGTGATTACTGATGTCTTTATCATTTTTGCCACCTGTTACTTTCTGTATTGATGATGTTTTTAAAATTTTTAATTAGTACAATTTTAGTTCCTAAAGTGATTAATTTGAATACTACTTTTCAAGATTCTTTATCTGCTTATTAATGTTTTTTCAGCCAGCAAAATTCGCATTTAATAACCATGTCGGAACCCGCGGAACTGCGAAAGGTTTTGGTGCTTTATACCGGAGGAACAATTGGCATGAAACGCAACCACCAAGGAGGTTGTTTTTTTTGGAAAGTCCTTAGCGTATGTTAAATGCGCGTTTGTTTCCAGTTTTGGTTCCAGCTCCTGATGTGCTAACTGGAAAGATAAAAACGTGCCCAGAATTACATGATCTTGATCTAGCCCGAATATATTCGGTAAGAAACCACGAGCTCATCACAAGGTAAGATTTTGAAATTAATTAAATTAAAACCCTTGCAAATTTTCAATCATCACATTTCCTATGTTTACAGAGTTTCATCATCCAATAAAGCTATTGTGTACCAAATCAGAGAATATCATCCTTTGTTGGACTCTTGCAATATGACCCCAAAGGAATGGGTGATAATAGCAAAAAACATTGAGGTGGGCAAGTTATTAACAAAAATTTAGTCCTCATTTCCCAGTGTCTTTTTTAAAATAATGCTTAGGAAATTTGATCTTTTTAATTACAGGAAAACTACAATGATTTCGATGGTTTTGTCATTTTAAGCGGCACTGATACCATGGCCTTCACCGCCTCAGCCTTGTCGTTTATGTTTAAGAACTTGCAAAAACCCATTATAATCACTGGTGCTCAGGTAACAATTCATGCAATACTTGTGGGCTTTTTTCGTGTTCTTTTTTATATTTATATTCAAATTTTTGTTTAGATACCGATTTTCGACAATCCGAGCGACGCAAAAAATCACATCCTATCAGCGCTGGTGTTTGCAAGCTGTTCGGACATTCCAGAGGTTTGTGTGTACTTTTCCAACAAGCTTTTCCGGGGAAATCGAGTTAAGAAAATGAGTTGTTCACAGTTGGACTGTTTCGATAGTCCCAACTATCCAGTTTTAGCAGAGATTGGATTTAATTGCCGAAGTACGGGCAATTTTATAGAGCAATACTTACAAGTAATTTTTCCTAGAAATTATGCGGATTTTCTTTTTAGTTTATAGGCACAATACGTTGCCCAGAAGCGAAAGAGGGCACTTGATGGTATGCACAAATCTGTGCGAACGGGTGGGCATTCTTTATATATTTCCCACCTTAACCAGGACCCAAGTGAGTTCATAACGCCAACAAAAGGCGAATGCGGGTGATATTTCTGCGTCCAGACCATTTCCAGATCTAACTTTTTCTTTTTACTAAACTGAGCAAAAATTCCAGCTGCTCTCTTTCCTGGAACCAACCTTGGAAGGTGTGGTGCTGATCACTTATGGTGCGGGAAACATCCCTTCGCATAGACAAGATCTATTAGATGTACTAAGAAATGCTGTTGGAAGAGGAGTTACAGTGGTCAGTGTCACTCAATGCATTAAGGGATCGGTTGGCCTTTACTACGAAACTGGAAAGGTTTGTAGGAAATCGTCTGATTTATTTTCTGATTTGTTAGCATTTGATTCTAGTGTTTGGAGGAAATTGGAGTGATTTCCTGCTACGACATGACCGTAGAAGCTGCCTACGCTAAGCTGGTGGTAGTTTGTGGGATGGTCAGTCAATCTGAGGAACGAGCAGAGGTAAATTTGCGTGTTCGTTTATGCTGAGTTTTTTGATCTCATGTGGGATTTTTTTCTTCGTTGTTGACTGAGAAATTCGTATTAAGGTTGGTCTGTCAAGATTTGTCTGCGTTTTTTTCAATTCTGCAGTATGTTGAGATTATTGAGAAGGGAGAGAAATGGTCAAATGATGCGTGAGAATGTGCAGAGAAATATTTTCTCACCGATTCAATTTTCCGTTTTCGTATGGCTTTTTTATACCGGGACCGCTATTGCTAAAAATATATTTGGAAAAGTTCTTATTTGCAACAAGTAAACCGTTGCCCCATGTAAGAAAATTACTGTTCTACACGAACATCGCGTCCTAAATGGCAAGAAGTAAAAAAAATTATCAAAAAGACAAAAACATTCATAATAAGTAGTTCCAGTCTCATCCAGCGACTTTAACAGACATTCGACAGAAAATTATATTTTATTATGTCCCAGTTTTGTTGTTACGGAAAAAAAATCTGAGGTTTTTTCTAAGCCAAGTGCGAGTTTAATTTCTCATTTTAGTATCAAACAGCGGCGCCGCGCAAATAAATGCAGGAATCGAATGCTCCGATCGTTACCAGGTTTTTAGAAACGATTTTTTTAAAGTTCTACAAAACATACCTTGATAACTTGGACTGAAAACAGAGAACGGAATCAAATAGAATTAACATAAAGCATAAAATATTTTAAAATATCTAATAACCAGCTGCATATTCCGTGAAAACGTATTTTTTGCTAATTGAATTGACTTGTTGCTGACTAGGTAGCAAGAGACAAAAGACAAAAATGCATTTTGAAAAAATTGTTGAACTTGCGGCATTATGTAGATCGTAAATACAGAGTTTGAGAACCAATATTTATAGAGTTTTCAGTCACCAAATAATAGGAAATTCTGTGTAACTGATATTTAGGAACGCCCTAAGGTATGCAAAAGAATGTTTAAATCAATTGCTGTTAAATGTGAGAATGGTGATAGTTTCGCACTGAAAAATCCTTTTTTTGGTTCATTTGCTTTCGAGCAAATCCAGTTCAGTTAATTTTCGCATGTTTGCCAATGCCGGTAAATATTTTTTCCAAATTTACCAGAGTGAAGAGCGTCTCTTTCACTGCCTAATTATTTTTTACGCATTGTTTACGTGTTATAAATGTGATCGATTTGCTGATGATTCACGTAATAGTAATTTACATGTTTACACGTTTAGCTAATATTTTACATTGTAAAAGCAGGTGAGATGGTCATTTTAACCGAAGTCTTTAAAGGGAGAATGCCAGATATTTACCGTTTACATCAGATTGTATTAAGAAGCTTTTGCCTAAAATAATTATGTATTTATGGACATGGACAAATAACTTCTAGTTATTTTCTTTTAGTTAATGAAGCAAGTTTTCAGAGGAGAAATGACTATTCAGCACTAAAACCAAATAAGCGCTACTTTCCAATTTTTGGAGCCAATATGAGTACTACGTTTATATTTATAGGGCAGATTAAGTTTGCTCAACACTCATTTAATTAAAGTGTTAAATTCATTATGATCTAATTGTGAAATTATCTTAATGTTATGTGATGAGAAATTGGTACTAAATTGTATTTTTTTCACATTTGTGATATAGATGACTAGGTGTTTAGGTGTCGGTTCAACACCACTCTGGGCATAGGAAAGTTAATAAATATTTCTTTTTATAATTGTGACCAGATTTAGTCCAAAAGCTACTTTATGTACCTGTTAGTTCTCTTGGTAAGTGTATACTTTTCCACTACAATAAATAAAATTGCCCTCTATTTTCTGTAGTTTTTTGTATGAACTAAAAAAACCCCAAGTTGCAAACAAAAGTAGATATTTCCCAAAATAGCATCAACGTGGAATCAATGAGATGATTTCAATTATAAAGCTTTCAACTGATCAAGAAATCTACTTAATGGAATCCAGACCGACATTCCGCCCGCTTTCTGTTCAATTATTTAGAGAAGCGACAATGAGGCGCGCCAAAATTCCCTGATCCTTAAACTAATTATAGCGACACATTGGAGATATAGAGTACCTACTTAGACGCTATATCTTGCCAATACTATTCAATCTAACAGAGTTATTCGGCCGTTAAAATTACGAATAACGTCTTATATTGAATTGCTGGTTTTTGCCTTGAAAATTTTGTAATTTCGAATTTGTAGTATTCTTCATGCATTTTCAACAACTTTAAGGTTTTAATGCTCTAAATAGTGCTTGCATATCGATTACTTGCTGTAATCTGTGCACACAAAAGCATTTTTTGATTGTGAATTAAATACAATCAGTTATTATAACATCTAAACGTGTCAAACCTGAAACCAATATGTTGGGTATAATTTGAATAAATTGTAAAACACGCTTTTTCCTACGTTTATTTACGATTTGTAGATCCGGGAATTGAATGCATGCTTTTAATGGTTTTTTGAGCAAAATAATGTGAAGTTGTTATTGCATACATTTTTTAGAACCATTTTATCTGCCCACCAGTAATGAATGTAGAATGTGCTGTTTCCTTGACTGGTCACCCGGAAATAGGAGTTTTAAATTGAAAATTCAGTTTCTCGACATTAAATATCCCTTTATTTGAACATATGTTGATATTTCCGACAAACAGTAAACTTTATATTGTTATTTGGTGAATTATTCAGGTCTCCGAAATAATTTCCATGTCGTTTTTATACAAATAATGGGTTGGACCGCTGTTGGTAAATCATCAACAAACTTGCAATCAAATGCAACGCGGCATATAATTAAAATATGTTAACATATCGGTTACTTTGCATTTAATTTAATAAATACATTAAATTACTAAAAGGGATTAATTTCCTCTCATTATCTCATTCGTTTAATGAGATTATTATTTTTTTGAATTCATTCAATCGATTATTTCTGTATAAAAGAACCGCTACTAAAAGCAACTATCTATGTATGTAAATTTGTATATCGCGTTTCATCATGATATTATTTTATAAATTTCCACTACGCCCCAACTTTTAGTTGACAATGTCCCTTTGATTTTAAATTGGAATGTGTCGTGTATATGCTATAAACCGGAATAATAAATTGCTGTTTTAGTCTATGTTGCTTTCAAGGCTTTGAGAATGCTGTTTAATCCGTGTAATATTTTTTTTAACACAAAATAGTACTTTTTAAATGCTCGACATGTTCATAAATGTTTACTTGCTCATCGCAACTGCAATTTTAGCAAACACCACCGAGCTAAACGCAACTCGATCCTGTTTTTAATTAGTTTCTGATAGCTTACTGATTTGTCGGCTTGTTAATGAGATATTTATTGTTTAAACCCTCAGGCCTAATTAAATGGAATTTCATATTCCGAACGCTAACTGGAAACTAGAAGGCGAACTTTTTAATATCAAGCAGATTAATTGATGATCTGCTGGACTTTTTACATTTACATAAATGTTGTATTGAACTTATCAGTATATTTGTATTAAAAATGTCTTCTGGTGATTGATGAAATCACAAGGTAGACAAATTTCTTTCCGAGCGTTTCGAAATATTCCAATTATATTCGTGTTCACTTTTCGAGAGATTTCCACATCTATTCAGGTCTTCCGTAGTAGAACGACGGCCAGAATATCTCCCCTAACGACTCGTTTTCAACTTCTCTAAACTTGTTAAACGTGAAAAGCAAATTTTGATACGAATTCACATTTAAATAAATTTGAGGAAATGTTAGCACATCCTTAGAAAGTGGGGCTTACTATGGTTCGTTTAATATGCCAACTTAAATCTACATGCTAGGTTTTACGCAATTTACAACAATTTTGGGAAAATTTATATTTTCTTTAGTTGGAATAATGTTTTGTTCACACCATTTTTGCAAACACAAAAGTGCTGGTGTGGGGATAAGAACAAAGTCTTTGGGGATAAAACATCTGCACGTTTTACTAATGGGTCCCTAAGGCCCACTTGTAAATCCTCCCTAATTAATATCAGATCGAAAAGGTATTAAACGGGCAAAGTTTCCCTCGAGAGGTGGATAATTCCCGCCAGTAATTAAAGAAATAATTTTCTTAGGGAAATTCTCTATCGTTTACTTTGCACGGAAATGTTTGCAGATTGTCTGCTCTTAAGCTGAAAGCCGGATGGGAAAATTGTTTTGGATTTATCGCACTCGCAAGCCCAAATTTTGACATTTAAATTAATCTTTTTGGAATCATGCGTTTTTTAACTAGCAGTTCTCAAAATAACAATCTACTTAAAAATATAATATGTAGTCTAATTAAAGCATTTTTTATTACCAAAAAAAAGAAGAAGGTGTTCTGCGCTCCTTTGAACACCCACCCAACACTCCGCTTACCTCTTGCCATGCCAAAGAAAGCCGTGATTTAAGTGGAGAATTCCCTACATTTAGTTCAGCACCAGCAGCGTTCTGCGTAATCAATTTGAATTTTTACACCACTTTCTACTTCACCGCTCAACTTCAAAATCTTATTAATGTGGTGTGTGATACTGTGGTTTTGGTTCCTACTGATTCGCTGACAATAATTAAATTTGTACCTGGAAGTAGTCTACAATTCTAAAATAATTTCTAAATAATCATACGAAAAAAAAGGGGATTGAAAAATCTGGTCCAATTACAAAACAATGAGCACACTCAAATTTAGGAGATATATTTACTTAAAAAATTACTTGAATTCCCAAATAATAAATTTCCGTTATCAGAGGTTTGATTAAAGTAAGAGGAAACCAGCAGAGAATTTAGATCTTTATCGGAGGTTTTAATAAATTTTTATTTTAATAAAACCTAATTTTTATTTTATTATTGGAGTCAAATTCCGTGGGTTTTCCAAGCGATTTGGAAACTAAATAGGAAACATTTAATACAACACATACTGGAAATTGAATCGCTAATAACGGAAGTTTTGATTGTTTAGCTCAAATAAAACACAAAATTGGAGATCAAATATCGATTTATTTGTTATTATTTACAGGCAAATAAATAAAATGCACATTGATCTATAAGGGTATAAAACATTAAGTTTCCTTTTTACATTGAAGGAGCTATGTAGAAGAAAAATATACGATAGATTCACTTTGAAAATATTGTACAATTGGAGCGCTAACGTTGATATTTCCTAAGATATGTTTATTTGCTTTGGATTATGCCTAGAGCATTTAGAGATATGTACACGTAAAACTGCTTTCTTGTTCACGTACAACCCTGTCGGAGAATATTCACATTTTTGCATAAGGATTTTTTCTAAATTTTTACCATTTACAATAGGAATTGTAGGCCTTTGTAATGATGTTTTCTTAAAAGTTTCTTTAAGTGAAGCGTCCTTATCGAGCTGAACAACAAAATAAATCGAAACAGTTTTTGCAACCTTACGATCTGAGGAGAAACCTAAGTTTGGAAAAATCTTCTAAACCCTTAACGGCTCTTGTCCAATTAACCATTAGAACATTAAAAGACTGTTCAGATTTTTATTAAGATTGTCTTCTAATTTCCTCCGGCTAATTAATATTTTTCATCCATCCATATATCACATATGTACGCTCAAATAAAATTAACAAGTTTGTGAACGATAACATCCCATATACATAACAAATGTGGCTAATGAATATCACAAATCAACTTCAACACAGGTACAAAATATATCACATTGAAGGTAGATAAAACTGGGAGGTTTTTTGATAGAGAACGTCCACTCCTCGAGCACATTTTGCGGGAAGCAAAGTATTACGTTATTTTGGTAAAAAAACTGAAAAAAGCTATAAGAACGCGATCCCGGCTAAAAAAAAATGAACGGCCTGTGATCGATCACCTTTAAATAATGTGTTCGAAAAAGACCGCACAATATTTTCACTTCAAACTCGTGTTTACATAAAAGAAGCACGCCAGCGGAAACATCTTTTCGTCTACGAATGAACATGAGCAGGCCAAAATGATGAATGATTTAACAAATATTACGTCGATGAGCTTTTGTTGCTGGATAAAGCAGTCGAACGATAACAGATTATCTGAAAAAGTTTATAATTGATCATTTGTTTCGATTTTTCACATCGATTTCAGCTGGGAAATTTCGCTTGCATCTAATCAGTTAATTCATATTAATTAAATAAAATCAAATTTTGTCGCAAATTCTTTTTAAATAAATTATTAAAAATCCTTGAAACATGCGACCAAATTAACCAGGACCTATGTTTGAATGCATTATTCGTGATTTACAAAATATTTACAGGAAAAGCACCTTTTAGGTCAGGAAGTTTAGAGTGGAGAAATGCAATTTGCGGGAACATTAAATATGCAGCAGATAACTAACGTCCATGAAAAGCCACCGGCAGTTCTACATGTTTCATTTATTGCCCGATATATTTTTCGTTGGTTTTGTTTTACCGTAACTTTATTAATTTAATTTCTATTTTCAATTGCATTGATTAATCGTTCCGTCGTTATGCTGTTTCGATATTGTTTCCCAAAAACCCAGCGTGTATGAAATGTACTTTGATTTATCGTTTTCGGATTATTTATTAATGATTTTCGGTCCTATTATACATTTATCATTTTTGTACTGTAAGCATATTTATATGTATTTATATCATCTAAATATTTTTTCAGAATTGATCGATCTAATTAATTTTTCTTCCAAATAAACGGCAGTAACGGAAATCTGAACTGAAAAAGTAAGAGTTCTATTCAAGAGATTATCCATGATTATTTATGAAGATTTCATATATTTTTTTCCTTCTTTACATATTTTCTTGAGTACTATTTTTATTCCTGCTGATTTAATTTGAAAGGAAGTGTTTGCCACTTAATGCCGAAAATCGTTTCGCTTTTAGAGTGCCAATCCAGTATAAAATATTTAAGATTTGCTCAGATTTTAAGAATCAGAAGTAGTAAATTAACAGTAATTAAAATATAAAATCAAGTAAATGTTAAATTTTCCAAGACTTTTAGACAAATTTAATTGTTTTGATCCTCAGGCATTTTTAGACTAATTTGCAAACGAAAATCCTCTATTTTCGGAACGAATAATCTGCTAATTTTTTTAAATAAAACTTTTTCTATAATATAATGTAAATACAGAAAACTTCTTCGGAAGAATATTGAAATAATCGAAATTCTATTTAAAGTTAGATCTTTGCATTTTCTTAAAACTTAAATTTTCGATAAACTGCGAAATTTAATTTTCACACACAAAGAAAATTGTAAGTTTGGGTTGAGGCAATTGATTGAAGCAGCTCTGAAAAAAGACGTTATTGCGGACAAGTTTTTTGCTGCGTTGGTTCAACTTTTGCTTTATATCGCTGACAGAAAATTTAAAAAATCTTGCAGTTTTGCGTAAAAAAGCTTCAATCTATTATAGTTTCAAGTAGTTTCCAACTTTGTCAAACTAGTTTTGAATAAATCGTACAAATTTAGCTCAGTTTTGTTCAGTGCAAACTCATGCCGATCCAATTCTCGTATAGGGACGACGACGAATGGAAGTGTCCATTCAAATATCAAATTAATTTCAAACTGATAACCCCAAGATGTGGCTGTTCTCAATTCAAATCGTTCCCAAGTGTAAACTATTCTAAAGTTTTGCTTGGAAGTTAAGCGCAACTTTCATAGAGTTGGTGAGCGAAGTAAAGGAGATGTTTGGTCAGTATCGGGTAAATTATGCAACAAACATTGCGGAGTCAACTTAAACGAAAATCCGGGCAAAGAGTGTTTAAAAGAATTGGACCACATTCAGACATTTAGCCAGATTATGTACATCGCAGTGTATGTGTTTAGGTTTTCTAAAATGTTAACCGTTGTGAGTTGGGGAAATTTCATCATGCCTTTGTGAAGCTCACTTGAAATCTATGCAGGCTGTCCAGAGAGAAATAGTTGAAAATTGTGCCCACTTAAAATAGCACATTTCAGCTAATGAAAATAAATTAATGTTATGCTTGGTTTCGCCAGTGGAGTTGGGAAAAAATTGGTTTTGGCAGTTTTCAATGGTTTCTGCATAAACAAATTTAATCAGCACATCGCAGTTTGTGCATGGCCAAATATTGAACAATATTGACGTAAAATTCGCCAAAAATTAGATACAATGAGCAGCGTCTCATCAGGATAGAAAAGAAAGAACTTGAGCAACAAGCTTTGACGATTTCTTTTGTAGATGTTGAAGATTAACTTTTGGACAGAATTGACAAAGGACCAGACTGGGAAAACTGTGCAATATTTAATTCTTTTTTCGCGTCTAAAGCTCAAGAATTGTTATCTATGCATCACATTTTCATGCAAAGGGAATTATTGAATATAAACATGAATAAAAAATTAATTTATCGATTTTTTTACAAACTTCTTGTTGGGTATTTTGCCTCAAAAATTTTTTTTTACAGAAGACACAATTTCCTCACGTCTTCAGACAGAACAGATTGATAAATAGTGCTCCTATTTCGCAATAAGAACGAATTATTTATCAAAAAGTAATCAAGAACTATCACCTAGAAGGTATCCTGCGACACACTTGGGCTCAAGCTGTAAGAGAAAATTCCAATTAGAAAAGAAATTAATTTGAAAAATTACCTTGACGTTTCGATAGCTATTTTCTGCTATCGTTATCAAAAGAACCTAAATGAACCTAAAAAAGAGTATGTCAATAAATTGTGTAACAATAGTAGGATAATACAGTATATGAAAATTCGCTCTGATAATTCGTCTGTGCAAATTGTCAGTTTTGTGACTTTGACTTAATCTCATTGTTTAAATTAATAAAGGTAATGTTAATTAATAATTTTGGTGTAAATTTAATTTGGGTGTATGTTTCTCTGGT